GGGGGAGGGGCAGAGGAAGAGGGAAAAGCAGACCCCCTGCTGAGTGGGGAGCTTGACATGATGCAGGGCTTGACCCCAGGACCCTGAGACCACGACCTGAGGTCAGACACTTAACCAATTGAGTCACCTAGGCGCCCCCTGAGTGGACACTTTAAAACCTCATCCTGAAAATAAATAAATAAATAAATAAATAAATAAATAAATAAATAAATAAAACAAACCTCATCCTGGGCGCCTGGGTGGCTCAGTTGGTTAAGCAACTGCCCTCGGCTCAGGTCATGATCCTTCAGTTCTGGGATCGAGTCCCCTGTCGGGCTCCCTGCTCGGCGGGAAGCCTGCTTCTCCCTCTCCCACTCCCCCTCTCGTGCTCTCTCTCTCTTTCTCAAATAAATAAATAAAATCTCAAAAAAAAAAAAAAAAGAAGGAAAACCTCATCCTGCTCCTCATCATGTTTCCTCCTAAATTTAGCCTTCATCGATGATTCTTGTCTATTTCACTGTGATGGCTACAAAACTCCCTCCCCCAGGCCCCCTGTTTGGCTCTCAGTGTCATTCCACTTGAGCAAGAGCCCTCCTTTCTCTCCTCTTTCAGGACATGAACTCATTGATTCTGATTTTTTTCAATGGGGTATAATTTATTAATGCCTTAATCATTTTGGTGCCTAATATCCCAGATTTGGCTCCTGGCAGCCCCTTCAAAGCTGGCTCCTTTATCCTGTGACATGCCTCCTACTTTTTTTTTTTTTTTAAAGTACTTTCTTTTTGGCATTAACACAATGTTCCAGGCTCCTCATCTCATATCTACAATGCCCCAGCCCTGGAATCAGCCATTTCTCTAAAAAAACCCTGATTCCAAGGCGCCTGGGTGGTTCACTTGGTTAAGCGACCGATTCTTGGTTTCAGCTCACGTCGTGATCTCAGGATCATGGGATCAAGCCCTGTGTTGGGCTCTGTGCTCAACTCGGAATCTGCTTAAGACTCTTTCTCCCTCTCTCTGCCCTTCCCCACCTCTCTCAAATAAATAATCTTTTAAAAAAAAAAAAAAAAACACGTGATTCCTTTTAGATGGGAATGGTATTAGAGAACAAGATCTCAGGGCAAAATGTGCTTATTGCTAATGGAGTGGAATGTGATTTTAGGCCCTTTTAGCAGACAGAGCTGAATATACATGCATACATGTATATATACACATATGAATGTACTCACCTATACATATTCTAGAAATCATGAGTCCACACTGATGTCTCCAATTCCAATCCATTGTCACAGTTTTTCTTGTTTCCCTCCATGAAATATGTGTGTTTCTTCTTCCAGCTTGAGAACCCCGACTCTTAACATCAACTCCTGTATTCATTTGCTCAGTCATATAATACATCTAAAAGAGTTTCAGAATCATTTTGCTAATACCAGCACATAAACAAACCTACCAAAGATAGTTCAGAACTTGGTTGAATTTCTGTTCCTACCCCACCCCACCAGCGCGCCCCACCAGCACCTTCTTCACCACCACCTCCTAGCAAGGTTGTTAGCTGGCAGGGTGATGGTAATAAGGAGGGGCAGAGCCCTTGAGGAAATGAAGGGGGTGTGAAATAGCCCTGCAAGGCGGAGGCTGAGGGAACTTCAGTTTCAGAAGCAGGAAGTTAATTTCAGAGGCTGGAGGGGATCCATGAGCAGTGGCCCCAGTTCACTTGAGGGCATGTTTTCCTGCAGCCATCTTGACAGCCTGGGTGTAGGAGTAGAGAAGACAGATGGTTGGGATGGCTAGACTGATCCAACATTGGGGAACTACCAGGTGGATGTGGCAGAAGGACAGAGAGTGAGGACTCCGGGGTGCTGGCAAGAGAGTGGTTGACATATGTGCCCTGCAGTCTGGGCTGAATGGGGGAGGAAGTGAAGCCAAGAGGGAGAAAGAGTCACTGGGACGTGGGCTGGGCTGCGAAGGGGTTTATTGAAGTAATTGCTGGTCACTGAATCCCACGGTCTAGGAGTAGCCAGTTCAGGGGACTGGGAGGAGAGATGGCTTGGACCAAATCTGGCTGGAGGCAAGATGGAAGGGGCTGAAGAACCTTTGTTTCCCCAAGGAGCAGAGGCTGAGAGAGAAGACCACCCTGGCCCGGGCTGAAGAGGGAGGCTGTCTCGGGCACAGTAGTGTCTGATCAACAGCTGTGAGAAGTGTTCAAATAAATGTGATTTTGTAAAAATGAAGAGACCTTGGAGATTATTTTACCAGGACAGTCGCTTCACTTTAAGGGCAGGAAACAGGTCCACACCTCCTCCCCCACCAGCCTGGGTGGGGTTCAGACCCAGGGGCTTTAAATTTAAGTTGGTGGCTCTCCTTAACGCACCACCATGTTCTGAAGCTAGCAGAATGTCTTCCTGACTGGTTTGTTGTAGCGCAGAGCGAGTCTTGGTTTCCTACCTGGGTTTGAAGTACAGGGGCAGGAATGGTGTTCCCACGTGTCGGTCACTGCTCGGGGCATTCTTTTTGATGGATGAATCGGTGAGAAGAGCGCATATCTTAGGGAAGAAGGATCCCAGGGAGCCCGACTTTCCTAGTAGTGTTCTTTCATTCTGTATTCTTGGGGATCTTCCTTTCTTTTGACTCTTATTAAAGCAAGCACTGCTCTGGACATGTGGTCTATGCTTTGTCACCAGAGCTTTGTCTGTAGATGTACTAATTAAAACAATGCTTTTCTCAACCCAGTTTCACAAGGAAGCTTGTTTCTCGAAGACCATGAGCTGCACAAAGTTACGTTGGAACCCACTTAAAGGGGAAAATTAATTCGGAGCTTCCTTTTATTTGGTCAGGCAGCATCAGGGTGAGGAAAAGGGGACAGAGATGCTGGGCCTCAGCAAGCATTAACAGAGGCGGGCTTATCTTCCCCAGGAATATTCCACTAAGAAATAGAAAGGTCTCTGATGGAATGTAGCTCAGCTAAACCTAGCCATGCCTTACAGTTTGCCTTTGTAGTTTAAAGGACAGAGTAAGCTTGTGGTGTCAAAGGCATCCTGTGCAGAAGGTGCCATGTCTCTGAGCTCTGGAAACATCTCTGCTATTCTAGGTAATGAAAGCAGAACTAGTCTGAGAACAGCCTGGAAAACCAGAAGTAGCAGTTCTATTTCTGTGAAGCAGAGCCTTTTGTGTGGCATTTTTGCTGAACGCTGGGATCAACACTGGGGACAACATAACTAAACCGGAGATCACCGGTAGAATCAGAGTGGCCAGGTACTAGGAGCTCTCCAAAATCCTTGCACCTTTTTAATGACCAAAACCAAAACCAACCTCTATTTTTTTTTTTTCAAGGAGCCTCTATGTCCATACAGAGTTCCTGTATCTAATGTTCCATCAGAAACTTAAGGGGAATGCTTACTGTCCTCACCTTACCTGTTTGGACGTGTTTCTGCCACTTTCAAGAGGTGTTGTCACTTCTCCAAAGACAGTGGAGGTGCTCTCCACTGAGAGCAGTTGAGGACTGAGGACCTCAGTTGTGACCACATGGTCCCAAAAGTAAGACTGCTAAAGAAAATATGCTCACCTGAAATCCATCTTGAATCTTAAAAAATGCTATCAGTGACTATGCATTTGATTTATAAAGAAAACAGAGTATGAAATACATTGTTTTGGGGCGCCTGGGTGGCTCAATCGTTAAGCGTCTGCCTTTGGCTCGGGTCATGATACCAGGGACCTGGGATCGAGCCCCGCATCAGGCTCCCTGCTCAGCGGGAAGCCTGCTTCTGCCTCTCCCACTCCCCCTGCTTGTGTTCCCTCTCTCGCTGTGTCTCTCTCTGTTAAATAAATAAATAACATCTTAAAAAAAAAAAAAGAAATGCATTATTTTTCCCTTCAAAAAATATGTATATATTTTAAGTAATATGTGTATATCTTAAGTAATCTCTATGCCCAACGTGGGGCTCAAACTCAGGACCCTGAGGTCAAGAGTCGCATGCTCTACCGACTAAGCCTGCCAGGCACTGCCCCCCGACCCTAACCTTTGTCGACAACTGTTGAATGTCAAGTTGATCTTGGCCTCTGACCTGACTAAAATGCTTTTTTCCACTTTTCCCTGATTCCATTCTCACGATTCACTCTTAGTGATCAAGATGCTTTGGGTTGTTTGTCCTGCAGCAGGAGATTTGTTATGTCCACACAGAATCAATCATCTTAGTTTGTCATTTTAAAGTTTCCAGCTAGAGGCACCCCTCTCAGCCTCCTACCAATAGCACAATGAGGGGCACCTAAGTGGCTCAGTCGGTTAAGCATCTGCTTTCGGGTCCTGGGATCGAGCGCCGCATCAGGCTCTCTGCTCCGCGGGGAGCCTGATTCTCTCTCTCCCTCTCCCTCTGCCTGCTACTCCCCCTGCTTGTGCTGTCAAATAAATAAATAAAATATTAAAAAAAAAAAAAGCACAATGAGAAATGACAGGCACTCTGACTGCCAGACACTGCTGCATATAAATGCCGGGTGGGTCACTTCTCCCTAATCACCGGAGCAGGAAAGCTTGCCTCTCTTCTAAAGAAAACACATAGCTGCTCCTTTGCAGGCCTGTGAGCTGAGCAGGGCTCAACTTGAGCCACACCACGTTTGGGTGACTACCAGATGTGGAGGCTGTGCCTGGACTGCGTGGATTCTCTCCTTTTTGCCCCTTCAATATCTGAGCATCCAAACCACATCTCAGGAAGCTTCCCCCCTGCCCCCATCTCAGGAAGTTTTTTACTTTCAAAAAGTACTTAAAGGGGGGCGCCTGGGTGGCTCAGTCGTTGAGCGTCTACCTTCGGCTCAGGTCATGGTCCCAGGGTCCTGGGATCGAGCCCCGCATCGGGCTCCCTGCTCTGTGGGAGGCCTGCTTCTCCCTCTCCCACTCCCTCTGCTTGTGTTCCCTCTCTCCCTGTCTCTCTCTGTCAAATAAATAAATAAAATCTTTTAAAAAAAAAAGTACTTAAAGGGGCACCTGGGTGGCACAGTCAGTTAAGCGTCCGACTCTTGATTTCGGCTCAGGTCATGATCTCAGGGTCCTGAGATCAAGTCCCGTGTTGGGCTCTGTGCTGAGCGTGGAGTCTGCTTGAGATTCTCTCCCTTTCCCTCTCCCTCCCCCTCTGCCCATGATCATAACTCCACAGATCTTGATTGCTTAAGCAGGCAAAATTTCATCACTCCATTACTCCAAATAGTTTAATGGATGAAGTACAATAACTATTTTATGATTCTTTTCTATACATTGTTGCCAACTCACTCTTACCAATCATCTCAGACCATAAAATCCTCAGTGTTGAATATAAAAGGGCATGTTTTATGAAAAATAAATCTTGTAAGTTTGGGGGAAGAATCTGATCACATATTCTGATTTTTTTAAAGATTAACTTATTTATGTTTTAAGATTTTATTTTTAAATTTATTTTAGAGAGAGTGCACATGAGATGGGGGGAGAAGCAGAGGGACAGAGACAAGCAGACTCTGAGCTGAGCGTGGGGCCCGATACGGGGCTCAATCCCACGACCCTGAGATCATGGACCTGAGCTGAAATCAAGAGTCGGAGGCTTGACCGACTGAGCCACCCAGGTGCCCCTGCACATTCTGATTTTTTATTCCAAAAATATCATCATACTGGGGTGCTTTTTATAAACTTTATCCAAAATTATTTGAAGCAAAAACAAGTATTTCCGAACAACTTTCAAAGGTTTGCCCTCAGCGGTTTGTAACTGTTTAGGGATTTGTCCTTGAAAGATATCCTCTTTGGGACAAAAAGTGGGGTTTTGGCTGTGTGCTTTCTAGATACTTAAAATGCTGAGTTTTCAGGTGTGAATTTAGGTTTTAGGGTGTGAGTAAGGTATGGAATAGGAGAAGGGCAGAGGCTCCCTTTGGCAGCACATACACTGAAGTAGATACAGATACTGAGAAGATTAGCATGGCCTGCAGAAGGAAGACACGGAAGTTCGTGAAGTATTCTCTATTAGAAACCAAACCAAACAAACAAAAAAGAGCTCAGCAGATATCATCACCTTTAAAAAGACTCATGCAGTGTGTGAGGCAGGATGTGGGGTGGGCAGTATTTGGGAATTCTCTGTTCTGTGTCCTCAATTTCTCTGTAAATCTAAAACTGTTCTCAAAATAAAGTCTATTAATTAAAAAAAAAAAGGGACACCTAGGTGGCTCAGCCGGTTAAGTGTCTGCCTTCGGCTCAGGTCATGATCCCAGGGTCCTGGAATCAAGCCCCACATCAGGCTCCCTGCTCGGCCAGGAGCCTGCTTCTCCCTCTCCCTCTGCCCTGCCCCCCTCCTTGTGATCTCTCTGTGTCAAATAAATAAATCAAATATTAAAAAAAAAAGCACAAACACTGGACTTGTACTAAAATTTGTGTTGCCATGTGGTTCTAATCATTAGTCATCCAGGTCATGGTGGTGGCTGACGGAGTTTACAAGTGATAGTGAAAAATACACCGGGAAACTTTCAATCCGATGTGATAGGAAGAGGGGAAAGTAAAAACAGGAGGCCTGGCATGAACTCAAGTGACCCTTCTTCAACACGACCCCAGCATGTGGACATGACAGGCTGCAGTTGGCAGGCTGTGCTTGCTGCTCGAGAGAAAGCTAAAAATATAAAACACCTGTTCACGTAAGGTGATGCAGTTAACCGATCAAAGGAAACAATTGGCTAGAGAGAAAGAATTTTAATCAGTGGGTTAAAAAATGTACGTAACCGTGTTGAACATGATATATGTCATACTAAACTCTGGCTAATACATGAATTGTTTTCTCTATGTGGTAACACCTTAGCATGAGCAAACCTGATAAATCATTGACCATTCATTGCTAGAAAGCTTTGACGGAAGACTTTTTTTGAACAAAGCACACTCTCAGAATATGTTTAAAATAGAATTTGAACTCTTAAAATTGATTTGCACATAATTTTAGAGAGAATGTCTACTGGTTAAAATGTGTATCTGGGCTGTAGGTTCATGAGCACACACTTCAATTTCTGACAAAGGAAGCTTTTCTATACATCATAATAAAATTTACTTTAAAAAAAAGTAATCTAATTCATGAGGTATGTATCGTGAGGGCTTGCATGCAATGGGAGCCCCTGGTGTAGTAAGGTCAGTGCATGATGAACACACGACACAGTATACCGCAAGTGAACGAAGCTCCCAATCATACAACTCCCCTCATTACAGAATGTGTCTGACCCAAAACATGGCAGCCTATGGGTATGTGTATATGTGCAAGGATGGGTACACTGTCATGGTGGCGCGGCTTCTCTTTGTGGCAGGATATCTGTTCCTGGACCAGTTTGGCTTCCTATCTGGAACCGGCTCTTGGCTGGGATTTGCGCTTCTCTTTGGAGAGCATGACACTGTGAATCCTGGCTTCTCTGTCTGTGCAAACAAGATAAAAAGTTGAATCACTTTAGGTTGTGATTTCTAAAGTTATAGTTAGGGTTGGGGTTGGTTTTAAAAGGAGTTAGAAGTATTTGCATTTCCCCCCAAATACCAAAGTACAAAGTAGTTGATGTGGTTCCAGGGCAGAGGTGAATCAAGCATTTGCCCTAGGCCTTCAGAGAGATGAAGAAAGGTCCTTAATGGCCCTGAGTTCAACCACTGCATTTCATAAACTCTCTAGAGACATTACACAAAGAGAACTTAATCTACAAGATAGGAGACTGCCCCACTGTTTGTGACTCTGCTTATCTATGTCTGTGAGTTAAATGCCTATGTCTCTGCTAGAGAAATGCTCCGCCAGAAAATGGAGGTGGGGGCGCCTGGGTAGCTCAGTTGGTTAAGCGTCTGCCTTCGTCTGCCTTTGGCTCAGGTCATGGTTCCGGGATCCTGGGATCGAGCCCCGTGTCAGGTTCCCTGCTCAGCGGGAGTCTACTTCTCTCTCTGCCCCTCCCCCTGCTCATGCTCTCTCTCTCTCTCTTAAACAAATAAATAAAATATTAAAAAAAAAAAAAAAAGAAGAGGAAGAAAATGGAGGCAAACGTGAAAGCCTGGATGGCATTCACCTGCTACGTCGGGTTTAACTGAATCCCTGGTTACATGTTGCAGCCTAAGAGGTTCCAACTGTGGGATGTGGCTTGAGCAAACTGGGGACGTCCTGCAGTGAATACCTCCGAGGAGAGGGGGCAGCTTGTGGCTCACCTGCCTGTCAGGACAGAAATCCTCTTTGAATTTACCTACACCTGTCTTCCCACTGCTCTCCAGGCTCTGTGATGTCATGGTGAGTGGACTCTATCTTGCCACCCCTCCTAGAGGATTGCTGCCTTAAGGGAGGGATCATGTCTTAAAGTCCTCAAGGGGGGGCGCCTGGGTGGCTCAGTCGTTAAGCGTCTGCTTTCGGCTCGGGTCATGATCCCGGGGTCCCGGGATCGAGCCCCACATCGGGCTCCCTGCTCGGCGGGAAGCCTGCTTCTCCCTCTCCCACTCCCTCTGCTTGTGTTCCTGCTCTCGCTGTCTCTCTCTGTCAAATAAATAAAATCTTAAAAAAAAAAAAAGTCCTCAAGGGGCCCCGCATCTTGTAGGGTCTCCATAAGATACGGATGGGTAAATGGGAGCACCAATCTGAGAAGTCCCGAACCTTGGGACTTGGGAATACAGCAGGGACCTCCCCTTGGGAGAACTGTCCATTCTCTCTCTAGTATACCCACGTTAGTCCAGTGGTTCTTAATCTTTTTTCGTCCCGGGCGCATGTGAGTGGCACCCTCCCATAGACTCCCCAGGGCTGACTCGACAGCTTACTAGCTGTTTCTCCACCTCTTTTTCCTCCTTCTCAGGAGAGAAAATGCAAATGCAAATGAGCAAGAGAGATGTTATTAGAGGGATAAATACTAACTCATTCTAACTTACTCTTTTAAAAAAGCAAACCATTCACAAACATTGGTATTGAATGATCTCTGGGACCTCTGGACATGAGGTACCTCACGACTGATGGCGGCACCCCAGGTTGTTGTTAACATCTCCGAGGGTTGAGAACCGCTGCATTATTCACTATCACTGTTACCTCAGCTGCTGCCACAGGCTTACAAAATAACAGCCGCCTAACAAATGTTTGCTAAAATGAAACTAAATTCTCCAGGGTAAGCTTTTTGCTCAAGGTGGGATTCCTCCCATCCTGCGGCACCTTGTGGGGCTGTGTCCCTTGGTGGTCAGGTGGCTCAGACGTTCTCCTGAGCGGAGCAAATCCTAGAAGGTAAAACTGTGGACTGTGGATCACTACCCCTCCAGATCACATCATACCCTTGAAAGCCAAATCAAATTAGTTGCTGGCATACATGTATACATCGTAGGTGAAATACCTGCATTCTCTCTGTATTCTTCGTCAGGATCAAGGAGGCCATTTTTGATGGGCCCAGGGAGGTGCCCTTGTCTCTCCCACGTAGCTGTGACGGAGATAAACGAACACGTTCTCACTAAAGTTCCCACTTGCACAAGTGTGATTACACAGAACAGACCCTGAGTGTTTTTTATTCCTGCATGTTAAGTCATTACGGTACTGTAACACAGAAAGAGAGGCAAGCCACAAATGAATAATAATTTGAAGAAAAGAAGGAAACTAATATTCATGGAGTGCCTACCATACACCAGGCACTTTACAGTTTCACATCTAATTTTCTCAACAATGTTTATGATGCATGTATTATTACCCAGAAACGGAGTCCCAGAGTGGTTAAGTAACTCATGAAAAATGATAGTGAGGCTGGAATTTGAACTCAAGACAGACTTGAAAGCTGTGCTCTGGCCGCCATCACACTAGACCCCAAATGACGTTCAGTGTGGGCCGTGCTCTGCGGGGGTTCTTCAGTGTAACACAGTGGGACCGCAGTATATCACTGCTAACCACAGGGTAGCATTCTGCATGAGAAGGGCCTATTACGCACCCTATCCACTAAGAGTTATCTTATATTTAAGATACTTATTTTTAAGATATTTATATCTTATTTTTAAGATACAAAACTTATTTTTAGAATTTCTTAAGTTTACTTTTTATTTTTAGTAATCTCTACACCCAGTGTGGGGCTTGAACTCATGACCCCGAGATCAAGAGTGGCATGCTCTTCTGACTGAGCCAGCCAGGTGCCCCACCAAAACTTATTTTTATACATAAAAAACCCAAAGGGGCACCTGGGTGGCTCAGTCGGTTGAGCATCCAACTCTTGATTTCAGCTCAGGTCATGACCTCAGGGTTGTGAGATCAAGCCCCACATCAGGCTCTGTGCTCAGCAGGAGGTCTGTTTGAGATTCTCTCTCTCCCTCTCCCTCTGCACCTCCCCTTGCCTCTCTCTCTCTCTTAATCTAAAATAAATAAATCTTAAAAAACCCAACCAAACAAAGATTTTATAGCCATCCAATGCCAAAGTACTAACAAACGACTGGGCACCTTTCCTCTGTGCTTCTACTTCATCCTACTCTCTGATGTAATTCCCTGCTTCCTTGTTAAAATCCCCAGTAGACTCTAAGGTCCCTAAGGCAGAGACAGTGTTTTGTTCAATGTTGCATTCCCAGCACGCAGTAGAGGGTGTAGCATGTAGTGGTTACATAGTTCGATTTGTTGAATGCAGGGATGGACAGATGATGCAGCAGCCTGTTCTTATGTTCTAGGTATAAAATCACAAATCAATGGTTGTCAGACTTCAGTAGTGTCTAACCCAAAATATTGTCAATGTCCCCAGTAATTTTAAGGTTCCCCTGCTCCCTGTGGCACCAACAGGAGGGTAACACAGATAGAGGCCTATTGTATTCTTCGGCCTATGGAAGAGACATATTAATTGGAAAAATCAGAGAATCTGCAACAAAGAGTCAAAGATGGAACAGGATAGAGAGCTCAGAAATAAACTCATGCATATAAGATCCATTAATTTTTTACAAAAGAGTCAACATATACAATGGGGAAAAGATGGTCTCTTCAATAAATGGTATTAGAAAAACTAGATATCCAGGCGCCTGGGTGGCTCAGTTGGTTAAGCGACTGCCTTCGGCTCAGGTCATGATCCTGGAGTCCCGGGATCGAGTCCCGCATCAGGCTCCCTGCTCGGCAGGGAGTCTCTTTCTCCCTCTGACCCTCCCCCCTCTCATGCTCTATCTCATTCTCTCTCTCAAATAAATAAATAAAATCTTTAAAAAAAAAAAAAAAGAAAAACTAGATATCCACATGCAAACCATACCCCATCTTGTACCATACACTAAAGTCAACTCAAAATGGATTAAACATTTAAACTTAAGACCCGAAACCATAAAACTCCGAGAATAAAACATAAGGGATAAGCTCCTTGACATTGGTCTTAGCAATGATTTTTTGGATTTGACACCAAAAGCAAAAATAAACAAGCGGGACTAGATCAAATTAAAAAGCTTCTGCACAGCAAAGGAAATCATTAATAAAATCAGAAGGCTGATTTTATTTACCTGGCTGGCTCAGTTGGTAGAGCACGTGACTCTGTGAGTTCAAGCCCCATGGTGGGGGTAGAGATTACTTAAAAAAAAATTACCCTACCCCCAAAAAAACAAAATCAAAAGAAAACCTATGGAATGAGAGAAAATATCTGTAAATAATGTTATTCAGTCTTAAAAAAGAAGGAAATCTTGCCATTTGTGACAACATGGATGAACCCGGAGGGCATCATGCTGAGTGAAAGGAGGCAGAGAGAGAAAGACAAATACTGCATGGTATCACTTAAGTGTGGAACCTAAAAAAAAGATCAAATTCGTAGATACAGAGAGCAGAATGGTGGTTGCTGGGGAGTGGGGAAATAAGGAGAAGATGGCAAAAGGGTATAAACTTTCAGTTATTAAAGAAAAAAAAAGTAACTACCTGAGGTGGTAAATGTGTTAATTAACTCAGTGCTGGGAACCCTCTCACTGTGTGTAAATATATCAAATACCATGTTGTACACTTTAAATATATTACCCAAAAAAAGTTCTGATAAATTTTCTATGAATGAGTTAAAAAAAAAAAAAAGGTAAGCAAAACTACTACCTCATTCAACCTTGGTTTGTCATTTCGCATCGTGGAAGAACTGGCATTCTCTGAATTTCTGAAAAAGGTAGGCTGTTTTTGCAGAGTAGAAGCAAACCCTGCCCTTTCCTAGAAGGATTGAGTGCAAAGAGAATATTTTTCAATTGATCCATTGCAATTACTCTACTCATAATTGACCCAATTCACTCAACAGTAAAATCTCCACGTCTGAAAGCATTTTCATTGTTAGGAAGCAGGGGGCATGGAGTGGGGATGACAGCTGGGAGGAGACTGGGAAGGAGCCTGGCATCCCTCTACTGGACAAGGCCGGACACCTGAGCTACCCAGCAAGCCTGGACTGGCTCCAGCCACCACTTCTCTAGTAACCACCATGATCAAAATCCATGCCAGAGTGTAGAACAGAATCGGTGGGCCAAGGCTGAGATCTGCTCAGAGATGTCCAGAGGACTCATGGAAGAGCTAAGAACTCAAAATAGCTTCCTTCTACCCCATTCCCCATTCCCTTTCTGGTTTAGAGTAAACTTTATCCCCTTGTCCTGCTCTGTCCATGGAATGCTCTTTGACCAGAGCCTTCTTACCGGGACATCTTCCGTTAACTTTAACTCCCTCATCAAATTATTTTTCTGATACTGTTCATTTCGCTGTTTCCTCGTCTGAAGTGGCTTCTTTTTTTTCTTCTTATACATCTTCTTCTTTTGATTCACCTATTCCAGAAGGCACAGAGAAAGTCGTCATTGGGGATTCCAGAGGTACATGTGGGTACATGGTACCCACATGGAGCCCTTTTCCACAGGACACTCAAGCCACAAGGGCTAACCCAGTACGTGGGCTCCATGGTGCTGACCTCCTGCTGGTTTGGGGAATAAACAGTTCAGGTACCTCCATAGCAGAATCCACTCCCCATTTAACATCCCCAAATCCCACTACTATAGGTATACTGCCAAAGGGGCAACTATACCAATAACCAAGTATCTGTGTTTCAAAATATAAAACCAGATTAGTCATGGCAATAATGTCAGGTACAGATAATACTGATCATTAGGTATGTGGTTAAAAGATTCAGTTCGGCTGGGGTGCCCAGGTAGTTCAGTCAGTTAAGCGTCTGACTCCTTTGGCTCTAGTCATGATCTCAGGGTTGTGGGACTGAGCCCCTTATTAGGCTCTGCGCTGCGTGTGGAGGAGCCTGCTTAAGATTCTCTCTCTCCTGCTCCCTCTGGCACTCCCCTCACCCCCCCAACCCGCTCACCCTCTCTCTCTCTAAAAAAAAAAAAGACAAAAATTTTTTGTAAAATTTAGAAGATTCAGTTTGGCCATTACCACAAGGTGGCTTTAATAATTAAGCAAATGAAGCTCAGGGCTAATTATCCGGGGACCTATGGTGTGGTGAAGTTTATACTGATGTAAATCCAGCTGAAAAACTTATATGGTCCAATCTCATTTGGCTGGCTCCACCTGGCACAGCCTTAAGCTCAACTTATGATGGAGATATTTCTTAATGCAACTAGGAAATCATGTGCATAATGAATTATAACAAATATTTTGTTGTTTCTAAAGCTTTTATATCATCTACATAAGAAAAAGTCTGTGAACAAGATGGGGCAAAAAAATACTTAATATATGGAAATATAAAACTATCTATGACTACATGAATAAAGAAATACTTTTTAAAAACGTATGGGTCAGGGTGCCTGGATGGCTCCGTCGGTGCAGCATGCAATTCTTGATCTTGGGGTTGTGATTTCGAGCCCCATGTTGGGTGTAGAGACATAGTATAAAAATAAAGTCTTAAATAAATAAATAAGTATGGGTCATTTTTAACAACCTCTATCTCTTAAGACAGTTTTCACTTTTTTTTAAAGATTGTATTTATTGGGGCGCCTGGGTGGCTCAGTTGGTTAAGTGTCTGCCTTCGGCTCAGGTCATGATCCCAGGGTCCTGGGATTGAGCCCCATGTCAGGTTCCTTGCTCAGAGGGGAGTCTGCTTCTCCCCCTCTCTCTCTGCCCCTCTCCCCTCTCATGCTTGCTCTCTCTCTCTCTCAAATAAATAAAATCTTTAAAAAAGTAAGAAAAATAAAGATTGTATTTATTCATTTGACAGAGAGAGAGAGCACAAGCAGGGGGAGCGGCAGGCAGAGGGAGAGGGAGAAGCAGGCTCATCACTGAGCAGGGAGCCCAATACAGGGCTCGATCCCAGGACCCTGGGATCATGACCTGAGCCAAAGGCAGATGCTTAACAACTGAGCCACCCAAGCGCCCCTTTTCTACAGACTTTAGCTGGAACATTCCACCAAATTATCCAGGAGGGTCATATTGTCCTTAAGGCTGCTACTTCCTGGGGGTGACTGTCTATACTATCTTACCTCATGTGCTATGTTCAGTAGGTGAAGAGGGAGACCGTCTGAGAGGGAACTGTCAGAACCACTGGTGCTGTTTCCAGAAGGAAAGAGGAAAGGGAAACAGCTGTTATTAATGTCTAGGAAGGGGAACATTTACCAGACCAGCAGCATGGGATTAGGATATCCAGTCTGCTACTTGCCCCCAATGCCTGCATTTCGATGACTAAGAATTCTTGACAAGCACATTCATTCATTCATCCTGAACACGTACTGCACGCCAGGCAGTGCATCAAGCACAGAGATGAACGTGGCAGAGCCCCTGACCCCACGGAGTTTGCAATCCATGTGGCAAAATAAATACTGGCCAGGTGGGCCAAGCTGCCCTTGGCAGCGACCGTGAGAGGCTGGAAGATTCTTAGTGTGCAGCCCTGGACAAGACCAGGGGACTGTGATTTGTTTGAAAGCAGGGTTTGTTTCATTCATTTCTGTCTGGCCAGTACCAGTTCAGAGAGCAAGGATCCTACCAGGTACTCTTTAAAACTGCGTTGAATATACACATAAACATATCTGATAACAAGGATTCTGTAGGTCGGAGACCAGGAATACTACTTTCATTATCCCAATTCCTGCTTCAAAAGTTGTGGATGCGTGTCCAGACTGATATAACGTCTTCCCCCACAAATGGGCAGCCCCCCTTCCTGCAAGGGCTAGGATGAACAAGGGCTGAACGAGGGCTCAGATAATCCACCTTGCTTCTTCTATCACATCCACTGTTCAAGTGTCACATTGTCTTTTTCCCTTTTCTGGGGTGTGGCCGGCTAGAACTGGGAGCTGTGCTCTACCACATGGCCTCCATAGATAAAAAAATGTCTTAGGCACAAAACTCAGATCTCCTGGGAAAAGATGGCATTTCAAACCATTCTTTTGCTCATGCCTTTCATCCTGTTCACACTCCCCCTCCCTCCCTTTGGTGCACAATGAGGAACCCCACAGTAAGACAGCAGGAAGAAAGCCCTCTCTTCTCTGATCTAATTCCCAATTCCCTGTTCTTGAAAGGCTTTTCTAGTCTGGAGAGTAGCTTTCTTGAGGCCATTGGATAATAGTTTCTCAAGTCCCTTTCGGAGATAACGGAAGACTTTAATAAACAGGATAGGGGCGCCTGGGTGGCTCAGTTGGTTAAGCGACTGCCTTTGGCTCAGGTCATGATCCTGGAGTCCCTGGATCGAGTCCCGCATTGGGCTCCCTGCTCGGCGGGGAGTCTGCTTCTCCTTCTGACCCTCCTCCCTCTCATGCTTTCTGTCTCTCATTGTCTCTCTCGCAAATAAATAAAATCTTAAAAATAAAAAATAAATAAAAAATAAATAAACAGGATAAAAGCATTAGATGCAGTATGCCCCAGAAAATATTGAAGACCATGTAGGTGCACACACAGGGCACACTCAAACTTGGCTTGGACACTCACAGTCTGCTTTTCTGCGTCACGGTGGGAACGGACAGGTGGAGCCCCGTGGAGGCTTGTAACAGCCGGCTTCCTGATGCAGATGCTGGCAAACTGGTTTCAGTAATTCTTACCTCACCGTATCAGGGTACCCCTAGATACTAGAATGCAGTCTCCCTGTTTCTGAGGTGACTTCTCCTGGGCTCTATCCTAATGGGTTGACATCCAGGGGCATTTTGCTGTTGAGGCTGAAAGTGAAGCGTGGTTTGTGCAGTGGTCCCAGAGAGTTAGGCAGAGAATTCTGGGAGAGTGGAGGAGGCAACATGGTGAATGGGCATACTGCCTGGTCTGACGCTCTGATTTAAGGTTCCTAAGGAGACATTTGGGAGACTCAGAACTGCAGAACTGCTTCAGGGCCCAGATGTCGATGTGCCACTTAGAGTAGGAGGGAGACCAGCCCCTTCGCCCTGTCCACTGCGGTCTACAGCGCCACCTCTGGCCGAGGACTGCCATGTCCAGCCCAGAAACCTGACTGAGGGCAGCTGGGGCAGGCTTGAGGCACCCTGGCCAGTAGGCTGGAGTAGAAGGTGTTCTTGCACACCTGTGAGACACTCACCCACCTGGGGGCTTCCTAAAATACTTGTGGAGAGTGTGGGGCTGAGATCCTTCACACTAAATTAATTCAATAAATATGTATTGAGCTCTCCCTAAGGGCTGGGTACTGTTCTAGGTGCATGAAATACAGAGGTGAACAAAATAAAGATCTCTGACCTTGTGGAACCCACATCTTCATAGGGGAAACAGACAATACATAATAAACACAATAAAGATGTAAATGACATAGAAGGACAGAGGTGATGAAATGCTTTGGGAAAAAGGAGAGCACCTCAGAGGGACAGGGAATGAAAGGCAGGGAGGCAAAGGCTGGGGAACAAGAGGCAGTAGTACAGTAACAAGGGCAGGCCATATTGAAAACGTTGACATTTAAACAAAGACTTGAAGGAGGTGAGGGATGAGCCATGTAGATATCTAGGGGAAGAGCATTCTCGGCAGCTGGGACCGCTAGTGCAAAGGCCCTGAGGCAGAAGAGTGAGGAGGCCAGTGTAGCCATAGCGGCGTGTGAGAGGCTGAGGGTGGGGGTTATAAGGTGGCCAGATACTATAGCCTGGACTTTTTACCTCATTTTCTGGCTCCTCCTTACCTCTGTGACCTCTTAGAGCTGTGGTACCCAGCTTAGACTTGGACCTTCTCTTTACTCTAGCTGCACTTGCTCCCTTCGGATCTCATCTAGTCTTAAGGTTTATTTTTTTTATTTATTTTTTTTAAAGATTTTATTTATTTATTTGAGAGAGAGAGTGCATGCATGTGAGTGGGGAAAGGGGCAGAGGGAGAGGGAGAGAATCTCAAGCCAACTCCATGCCGAGCATGGAGCCCAATGCGGGGCTTGATCTCACAACCCTGAGATCGTGACCTGAGCTGAAACCAAGAGTCAGATGCTTAACTGACTGAGACACCCAGGTATCCCTAGTCTCTAGGTTTAAATATCATCTATCCAATGATGACTCTATTTGACCTCTCCACTGAACTCCAGACTCATATATTCAACTGCCCATCCAATATCTCCATTTAGATGTCTAATAGACATCTCAGAATGAACGTGCCTAACACTAGCCTCTGGATCTTCATCACTCCCCTAACCTTCTCCACCCCCTTGATCTTCCCCATCTCAGTAAAAGGCAACTCCATTCAACCAATTATGGACTCATTCTCTTTCTCTCATGCTCCACATCCAATCCACAAGAAAGTCCTAATGTTTGAGACTTCAAAATATACCTAGAATCCAACCAATTCATACACCCCTAACCACTACAACTACTCAGGTCTAGACCACTGTCTGTATTTACCTGTATTATTGCAAGAGCCTCCTAATGAATGTTCCTGCTTACACACCTTCCCTCTCTACAATCTATTTTCCACATAGCAGCCAGGGTATTCCTACTGAAACTAAAATCCAAGTCAGAACATGACACTTCTCTCCTTAAAACCTTCCAAAGGCTTTCCACCTCCCTTGGAGTAAAAGACAAAGGCTTTACAATCGCCTAAAGGCCCTACACATACTGCCCGCCCATCTCCCTAACTTAGAAATGAGGCTGTCGGGTGCCTGGGTGGCTCAGACGGTTGGGCGTCTGCCTTCGGCTCCGGTCATGATCCCGGAGTCCTGGGATCGAGTCCCGCATCGGGCTCCCTGCTCCTTGGGAGCCTGCTTCTCCCTCTGCTTCTCTCTCTCTCTCTGTCTCTCATGAATAAATAAATAAAATCTTAAAAAAAAAAAAAAAAAAGAAATGAGGCTGTCAAAGAACAGGCACTCAATACATAGTTGTTGAAGAAATGAAATATATTTAAGTGTGCCAAGATTTATTCAATATTTTGCACCTGAGGTTCAAAACCAATGAAACAACAAGAGCAAACAATAATAATAATAATAATAATAATAATAATAATAATAATAATAGAACTTCTCTGGTTTTTCTTTGAAATGAAGTTTGTTACCTGGATTCAATGTCAGACAAAGAGATGTCACTCCAACTTCCTTCTAAATCCATATCTTGTCCAAGTTCATTGAATTTCTTACGGATCTCCTGTTGTAAGAGCTCTTTAAGCTCTGCTAAACACTGCATGAACTGTGGAAGTGAAAAAAAAACATTTTTTATTACTCATTTATTTATTTATTTATCAAATATTTACTAAGTATATGCTGAAAGGCAATTTATTTATTGCTGGGGACATAAAGATGAGTGGGCTATCACCTCTGCTAGTAAGGACGTATTAACATATAAATTACATGAGCTGTAGTAAGTGTCTCTAGGGCAGAACATCACTGAACACTGCTTTAGGCACTTTTCTCTGGCTAAAGGCAATAATAAACTTCTTAAATAATGCAAAGGTCTGATTTATTTTATTTTTTTGAATAGCAAGGAAGGAAATGTTGGAATGGGTTTGTTCAGATTTTGGCCCATGGCAGATGTGATTTAACAGGCCATGTTGTGGTCTCATTCTCCTTTAAATATGTTTTATTAAACAGTTGCATCCAGAGCAGTCTGTACCAGTGTCCCCAGGGCCATCTGAGAGGGGGCATGAGAGAGGAGTTAGACTGAGCCCATGAGCAATGCCTTTTGAGAAGCTGAGCGATGAAGGGAAATAGAACTACCCTCCTGACTCTCTGCTAGAGAAACAAGGCCAAAGGAAACCCGTGTATGAGTCAGGACAGGGGCAGCTAAGAACACGTGCAGTTGAGGAGAAGAAGTAAGAGGATGAAAAAACTGAGGACACAGAAAAGGAGGAGGGAATGAATGAGGCAAGACCTTAGGGAGGCCATGGAGTGGGGGGCTGGCAGGTGCGCAAAGGGCAGGGTTTGTTTTGGAGAAGAGAAAGGACCCCTGCTTTTCTGAAAAGCAAAGTGAGGGAGAAGTGTGCTGACGGATAGTCGGCACGAAGGCTTCTACCTTCTTGGCAAGTTATGAGGTCTTGCCATTTGCGGAGAGTGTGCAGGCTGGGGGCTTTCTTACTTTTAATGATAATAAAAACTTCTGAACGATATTAAGAGGAAAATAAAGACCACCTATAATCTCATTGGGCTGACCCTGGCCCCATGTGAAACTGGTCCCAGTAGCATCACCACTGTTCTTGAAAGCCCATTCTTACCTTGGTTCGGTCAGGATCACAGAAATCCAGAAGGGTGTCACAAACATGGTAACCTAGAGACTTCAGATCCTCAGTGGTAAAGTGAGTATCTCTTTTATTGCCTGAAGAAAAAAATCCATAAACATTTCTTATTAAATCCTAATGAGCAAATGCAATCTAATTTATGAATATTTCCTTAACAACACCACCTCTGATTCTAGAATATTGTGCTTCTGGACAGGGTCTTTCTCCCTCTAGTTCTGGTTTGGTTCAGAAGAATCTTTGACAATGAATAAGTCTGCAGTCATATGGCTATAGTTACTGAAGTTTTACTCTATGGTAGGTGCTATGCCAAGGGCTCTATGTGCATTATCTCATTAGGTAGGACCTACAAGGCGGGTACTACTGTTATTGCCAGTTTTTAAAAAAATGAGGTTCACAGAGTTAAGTAACTTAGCCAGGATCACACCACTTGGAAATGGAGCTGAAAGTCAAACCCGGATCTGCCTGATTCCAGGTCCTGAGCAACCGCTATGCTATATTGCCCTGTCAAGTATTACATTTCACACTCAAATTTAGGTTGTCAAATTCAGCAGAAGGCACAGTTAGGAAAATCCTCTAGGTCAATCATCTCTCCAGCATTCAAAGGGATTTCATGCCCTCCGTGCTTTGCCTGGCTTCCCCTTGCCGTGCTGACCTATGATATACAAATGAGAGCTTACCCAGGGTGGACCCCCCAAAGGTAGACTCCATGGTGTAGCTGTTGAGGATCCCCATGCGCCACATCACAACTCGGCCCGTTCCTTCCTTGCACTTTTGCACCTTAAAGTTACAACTATGAAAAGAGAACTAAAGAGAAACCCAAATCCTCTGTTAAACATAAACTGGCAAACGTTAAGATGCCTAAGATTCATTACTACAATACAAGAATTGTTTCCTGGGGGGTCTATATATCATTTCCTAACATATGTTCCATAAAATAGTAGTTTTATGGGATGTTAACAGGTATTACAGAGGAGAAAATGAGTACTGTGGTCATGTTGGTCAGAAGAAGGAAGGACTAATAAAATTACACAGACTTCCTATGCAGGATCTCTCAGAGCATTTAGTATGTTATTGTCGACTGTGAGTCTCCAAAGGGGAGAGAGTAGATTCTGTTTCTTACTGCCAGTGACCTTTTCTTCCCTTTCCCACCCTTCCCGGGGACATTTTGCTGGACGAGGGTGCCTTGAACTCCTGGTTGTGAATGCTGGCTTACTTTGCATTCAAGACATTTTTCTAAGGTTTCTTTCTACCCCTCCCCAACTTGAGCTCTTGGATCCAGTTGGGTTTATCCTCTATCTGGATTCCGGTATGCCTCACCCCTGTAATCTCTGCCTGGAATTCTCACTCCCTCTTACTTAATGTTCTCGGCTTGGAGTTCAATATCCTCCATTGTCTTTCATGACCACCCCAACCCTCTTTCCTTACTGGGGGTTTGTAACATACACTTGGCACCCATCCCAACCTACCATATCCTGCTGAAAATGCCTTACAGTTGGAAGGTATCTCACCACTTAGCGGTTTTTAAGTTGTGCACCCTGGAATCCAGGGGTTCTATTGAGGAGCCTCGGGCATTCCTGCCACAAGGACTGAAGGAGGCAGAATGGGCAAGGTTCCAAGCCCAAGCCCTCTATTTGTCTTCAATTAGTGTAGCTCTGTTTTTAACTGTTTTAGATACTGGGTTCTGGATATCATTTTTTTTAAGATTTTATTTATTTATTTATTTATTTATTTATTTATTTATTTATTTATTTAAGAGGGAGAGAGAGAGTGAGAGAGAACACAAGCGGGGGGAGGGGCAGAGGGAGATGGAGAAGCAGACTCCTCGCTGAGCAGAGAGCCCGACTCAGGGCTTGATCTTGAGACTCCAGAACCATGACCTGAGCTGAAGGCAGGTGCTCAACCGACTGAGCCACCCAAGCACCCCTGGATGTCATTTAAAAAATGTTTTAAATTATTTATTTATTTTTTTTACAAGATGAATATTTGGACGTCATTTTATTCAAAGAAAGAATTCCCTGGGGCACCTGGGTGGCTCAGTCAGTTAAGCATCTGGCTCCTGATTTTAGCTCAGGTCATGATCTCAGGGTCATGGGATCAAGCCCCATGTGGGGCTCCATGCTCAGTGGGGAGTCTGCTTGAGATTCTCTCCCTCTCCCCACCACCTGCTCGTGCTCTCTCTCTCTCTCTAAAATAATAAAAAAATATAAAAATAAAATATCTCTTGGGCGCCTGGGTGGCTCAGTCATTAAGCGTCTGCCTTCAGCTCAGGTCATGATCCCAGGGTCCCGGGATTGAGTCCCACATCGGGCTCCCTGCTCGGCAGGAAGCCTGCTTCTCCCTCTCCCACTCCCCCTGCTTGTGTTCCTGCTCTCACTGTCTCTCTCTCTGTCAAATAAATAAAATCATTAAAAAAAAAAAATCTCTTAAAAAAATAAAGAGATCGCTGGCAAAAATAGAAAGACCTAAAAAAAAAGAAAAAAGGAAGGAAGGAAAAAAGGGAGAGAGGAAGAAAGAAAAGCTTCCTCTTTCCTTTTTCTTATTTAACAGATAAGAATAGCAGATATAAAATATTTGTCTTGGGGTACCTGGGTGGCTCAGTTGGTTAAGCGTTTGCCTTTGGCTCAGGTCATGATCCCAGAGTCCTGGGATCAAGCCCTGCATCAGGCCCCTTGCTCAGTAGGGAGCCTGCTTCTCCCTCTCCCTCTTCCCCTCCCCCTGCTTATACTCTCTCTCACTCTCTCTCTGTAAAATAAATAAAAATAAAACCTTTGAAAAATAAAATATTTGTCTTATATATCTTTATGGGACAAAATATGTACTATCATTTAAAAACTTTTCTAAATCCAACCTAACTTCTTCTTTCTAATGACATTACATTTTGTGGATCTATTTATGATACTGAAAACCCACTTCTCAGCCAATGCAGGTACTCTGTATATGCCTAACTGTCAGAGCTGGTACTCAGCCAACTGTTTAAGGCTTTAACTTGGTTTTTTTTTTTTTTTTAATTCTTATGTTAATCCCTATACATTACATCATTAGTTTTAGATGAAGCTTTAACTTTTTATTCACTTGTTACTATCTTACAGTTATTTGTGATTTTTTAAAAATTTTTATTTATTTATTTATTTTAAAGATTTTATTTATTTATTTGACAGAGAGAGAGATAGCGAGAGCAGGAACACAGCAGGGGGAGTGGGAGAGCAAGAAGCAGGCTTCCCGCCGAGCCGGGAGCCCGATGTGAGACTCGATCCCAGGACGCTGGGATCATGACCTGAGCCGCAGGCAGACGCTTAACGACTGAGCCACCCAGGCACCCTGTGATCTTTTTTTAAAAAGATTTTATTTTGAGAGAGAGAGAGAATGAGCAGGGGGAGGGGCAAAGAGAGAGGGAGAGCTGAGCAGGAAGCCAGACATGGGGCTCGATCCTGGGACCCTGGGATCAGGACCTGAGCTGAAGCAGACGCTTAACTGACTGAGCCTCCCAGGCATCCCTGTGACCTTGTCTTACAGAAACTATTCTGTGGAGGCTCATTCAATATTAGCACTTTGTTTATCCTTCAATCCCTTCTTCCACTGCCAACCACAGGATTAAAGAGGACAAATTATCGGGACACCTGGGTGGCTCAGTCTGTTAAGCGTCTGCCTTTGGCTCAGGTCATGATCCCAGGGTCCTGGGATCGAGTCCCACATGGAGCTCCTTGCTCAACAGGGAGCCTGCTTCTCCTTCTCCCTCTGCTGCTACCCCGCTTGTGCTCGCTGTCGCTCTCACTCTGACAAATTAAAAAAAAAAAAAAAGATCTTTAAAAGAAATACATTAAAAAAAAAAAAAGAGGACAAATTATCTACTAAGAGTTTGAACTTGTGCCCAAGCAAAGCAGCCCTGCAATTTTTAAAAATCATCTTTATTGAAGGGCACCTGGGTGGCTCAGTTGGTTGAGCATCTGACTCTTGATTTTGGCTCAGGTCATGATCTCAGAGTCATGAGATCGAGCCCATGTTGGGCTCCACGCTGGGAATGGAGCCTGCTTAAGATTCTCTCTCTCCCTCTCCCTCTGCCTCGCCCGCTCTAAAAAAATCATCTTTATTGAGATATAATTCACATATCATAAAACTCATTTATTTAAAGTACACAATTCAATGATTTCAGTATATTTACAGAGTTGAGCAGCCATCACCATAATCTAAGTTTAGAACATTTTCATTACCTCCAAAAAGAAACCCAGCACCTAAAAGCAGTCATGCTGCCCTCCTCCTCCCCGCCCCAGACAATCACTAAACAATTTTCTGTCTCTACAGATTTGCCTCTTCTGAAGATTTCATAGAATGGAATCATATAGGGGTGCCTGGGTGGCTCAGTAGGTTAAGAGTCTGACTTTGCCTCAGGTCATGATCCCAGGGTCCTGGGATCAAGCCCCACATTGGGTGCCCCGCTCAGCAGGGAGTCTGTTTATCCCTCTCCCTGTCCCTCTGCCCCTCCTCCCACTTGTGTGCATGCACTCTCTCTCTCTCAAAGACATAAATAAAATTAAAAAAAAAAAAATGGAATCACACAAAATGTGGCCTTTTGGGTCTGGCTTCTTTTGCATAGCATGCTTCACGCATGTCTTAGCATATTCATACTTCTTTTTTTTTTTGCCCAATAACATTCCATTGTGTGGATATATACCACCTTTTATTTATCTGTTTTTCTGTGGATATACAGATTAATTCTTTTTTTTTTTTTTAAGATTTTATTTATTTATTTGACAGAGAAAGACACAGCGAGAGAGGGAACACAAGCAGGGGGAGTGGGAGAGGGAGAAGCAGGCTTCCCGCCGAGCAGGGAGCCTGATGCGGGGCTAGATCCCAGGACCCTGGGATCATGACCTGAGCCAAAGGCAGACACTTAACTGACTGAGCCACCCAGGCGCCCCAGTAATTTTTTTTTTTTTAAGATTTATTTATTTTACAGAGTGAGAGAGGGTGCAAATGGGGGTAGGAGCAGAGGGGAGAGGGAGAGAATCTCAAGCAGACTCCCTTCTGAGCATGGAGCTCAACACAGGGCTTGATCTCATGACCCTGAGATCATGACCTAAGCCAAAATCAAGAGTTGGATGCTTAACTGATTGAGCCACCCAGGCACCCCTACACAGAGTAATTCTTAAAGCCACACCTTTCTAAATTCTTGAAGTCCCTTTCCAAAGAAGACATACAAATGGCCAACAGACATATAAAAAGATCCTCAACATCACTCATCATCAGGGAAATACAAATCAAAACCACAACGAGGTATCACCTTACACACACCAGAATGGCTAGAACCAAACACAAGAAATAACAAGTGTTAGGGAGGATGTGGAGAAAAAGGAACCCTCTTGTAGTGTTGGTGGGAATGTAAATTGGTGCAGCCACTGTGGAAAGCAGTATGGAGGTTCCTCAAAAAATTAAAAATAGAATTACCATATGATCCAGTAATTCCACTACTGGGTATTTACCCAATGAAAACAAAAACACTCATTCAAAAAGATATGTGCACCCATATGTTTATTGTAGCATTACTTATAATAGCCAAGACATGGAAGCAACCCAAGTGTCCATTAATAGATGAATGGATAAAGCTGTGGTACAGATCTACAATGGAATATGACTCAGCCATAAAAATGAATGAGATCTTGCCATTTGCAACAACATGGATGGATCTAGAAGGTATAATGCTATGTGAAATAGACAGAGAAAGACAAGTACCATATGATTTCACTCATATGTGGAATTTAAGAAACAAAACAAACAAAGGAAAAAGAGACAAACAAAAAAAGTAGAGTCTTAAGCACAAAGAACAAGCTGGTGGTTACCCGGGTGCCTGGGTGGCTCAGTTGGTTGGGCGACTGCCTTTGGCTCAGGTCATGATCCTGGAGCCCCGGGATCGAGTCCCGCATCGGCCTCCCCGCTCAGCGGGGAGTCTGCTTCTCCCTCTGGCCCTCCCCCTCTCATGTGCTCTCTCTCTCTCAAATAAATAAATTAAAAAAAAAAAAATCTTTAAAAAAAAAACAAAAAACAGGGGCACCTGGGTGGCTCAGTTGGTTGAGCGACTGCCTTCGGCTCAGGTCATGACCTCAGGGTCCTGGGATCGAGGCCCGCGTCGGGCTCCCTGCTCAGCGGGAAGCCTGCTTCTCCCCTTCCCACTCCCCCTGCTTGTGTTCCCTCTCACGCTGTGTCTCTCTCTGTCAAATAAATAAATAAAATCTTTAAAAAAAAAACAAAACAAAACTGGTGGTTACCCGAGAGGAGGAGGGTGGGGGGAGGGGTGAAATAGATAAGGGGGATTAAGGGTACACTTATCACGATGAACACTGAATAATGTATAGAACTGTTGAACCATTATATTGTAAAAACAAAACAAAAAGAAAACCAGAGTAAATTCTTGAGGTCCAGGTTGCTGGGATTTACCTAAGAATGAAAAGAGATGCAAAGTGGCATATAGGGTGCAGTGAGTTCTTTTCTTCCTTAGTCAACGGATGAGAAATTACCTTATGGGCTTACCTTATCCGGTGCATTTTTGCTTAACATTAAAGGAAAGACTCGCTCGTGAAGCCAGTGCTTGCGATTGCTGCTGCCGCAGCCGTACAAGAAGATATTATTCTTGCGGCTGTGGCCATGGAAATCACAATACAAGAGAACCTCCCTTTCTTCCAGAAGCCTATTGAGGGGGGCAAACAAAGGACTCAGTGGACATCCAAATGCATGACAATAATCTTTTATAGTCTCTTCCTTAAGTATGTCTGTTGCTACCATTCCTCTAAAGAAAAGGTCAACCCCTTCCAAGGACCCTATGCCCATCCTCAGCCACTGCTGTAAACATGCTACCAGCACTCCTTGCCCCTGCCGGTCACAGGGACTTGAGATGAAAATGCGCGGATGTGGAAGGGGGTGGTGGGTACGCCTTGTGTAAGCTGACAAGGAAGGGGAGGAAATCTGTTGAAAGAAAGCCCACCTGGGGGCAGCCCTGGGGAAAGAGGGACAGAAGTAGAGAGGCTGTAAGTGTTGGGTTGAAACTGAGAAAGCAAGCCTGGGTCCCTGACTTTCCAGGGCCAGCTCCTGTCAGGCTCAGCGCCTCTGTCTCCTCCTCACCCAGGCATCTACTCAGTCTTCCAAACATGGTCACCTTCTCCACGATGAGGATGACAGGATGAAGAGGAGGGCAGTAATGCCACACACTCACAACATGCAGGGCACTGTGCTAACCAGATGACATGGATCCTCCCATTTAATCCGCTAACCACCCGAGGCAGGCGAGCTTAGCCCCACTCCACAGATGGGAAAACTGAAGTGCAAAGAGGTACAATCACTTCAAGGTCACAGAGCCGGCCCGTAGCAACACCAGGTCTCAAAGCCAGGCCTATCTGACTCCCACACACGTGCTCTTAGCCATTTTGCCTGCCAGCCCCACACCACCCGACTCCCACCCTCTCCCACAGATACAGTTACGAGGTGTGCACGTCCACATATTCTTCTGTGCTGTGGTCCCATTTCCGGTAAGGTGGGTGCCACTACACCATAGCCCTCAACTGCTTTCACAGAAGCTTGGAAAATTTTTTTTTTTTTTAAAGATTTTATTTATTTGACAGAGACAGCGAAAGAGGGAACACCAGCAGGGGGAGTGGGAGAGGGAGAAGCTGGCCTCCTGCCGAGCAGGGAGCATGATGCGGGGCTCGATCCCAGGACCCTGGGATCATGACCCGAGCTGAAGGCAGGCGCTTAACGACTGAGCCACCCAGGCGCCCCAAACTTGGAAAATATTAACTGATTTATTTACTATTCTTCCCTTACGAGAGGCAATATAAGAGGTAATAAAGAACTCAGACTCTGGAACCTGAGATCCTGTGTTCAAATATCTACTCTGTCGCTTTTTAGCTCTATGACCTTGGGCAAGTTGCTTGACCTTTTGGGGCCTTAATTTCCTCACCATTTACAGACGGGATACTGATTGTGCCAACGCCAGAGGGTTAATGTGAAGACTACATGGGCCCCATGTGGAAAGCACTGAGAGTACTACCTGTCCCCTCTACACAAACACTACCTAATTGTTAGGTACCATTATTATTACTACACAGGCCTCATGACGAAGGCCTATGAACTTCTCTGACTTCTGAACCCTCTATTCCATTGTTTCACTAATAAGTGAAATGCCTCTAGCTGAAATATTGCATGTTCAGGTTCAACCCAAAGATAAAACAGGACTTGGGACACCTGGGTGGCTCAGCTTGTTAAGTGTCTGCCTTCGGCTCAGGTCATGATCCCAGGGTCCTGGGATCGAGCCCCGCATCGGGCTCCCTGATCGGCAGGGAGTCTGCTTCTCCCTCTGTAGTATTATCCCCCTGCTCGTGTTCTCTCTCTCTAATAAATAAATAAAATCTTAAAAAAAAAAAAGATAAAACAGGACTTAAAAGTTTGGAACCGACCACACCACACCCACGTGATTGCAAACAGAAGGGTAAAGACAGTCTCCAAAGCCGCGCCCAAGTCCCATATAAGCAGAGCCCTTGCACCTGTCAGACAGTGTTCACAGCATTCGGGGGAAGATCAGCAGATAAAGGGGCTCACCTTTTGATCATGTTCCTGGTGTACCAGATGCAAGGGAAAGACTCCTTCAGAATGGTTTTATAATGCCTGTTCAAGTCCCGTCCCGCCAGTGAACACCGGTAATTCCCCACGATCACTCCATCTGGATTTAACATAGGAACCACTTTGAAGACAAAGATATCTCTGAGGAGCTGCGCATCTGGGGAGTTGCTAAGGATGAAGTCCAAAAAGCCCTTCATGATCCACGAGCCATTACTTTCTCCAGGGTGGACTCGGGCGCTCAAGACCACGGCTTTCTTGGCAGCCGCCTCCTGCGGGGTCCGGGCTGGGTTGGTGATGGTAAGCAGGTAGACGGTATTTCCTGCTAGGCTCCTGCATAAAGTTCGGAGTTTGCAGAACTGAGACTGGACGGGGTTGTTCACCACTGACAGCAGGTAGCATTGTAAATCAGTGTATGTATACGGGTAGAAGTGTGCGAAGAAGCAAGTGTCCTGGTCGTGTGGAAACTGAATGGTCCACGTGAGACAGTAAAAGAGCTGCTGTCCATTGTCCCTGTTGTTCTTATAGTACCTGATTTCATTTCCTTCTCTCCTCCAGCCAATGTTGTGGGTGCTGGCATCCAACTGGGAGTACATGAGTGGCTTCATCCCTATAGTGTAAAGGCTCTTGGGTTTGAGCAAGTTGACAATGGTGAAGCGGTAGGTGGCATCTTTTCTAGTGTTCTGAACACGAAAATAAAACCACTGAGTGTGTTTGTTTGTATAGAGGTCAGTTCGCAAGGTGAGTTCATACTCATAGGTATCTCTGTAATGGAGAAAACAGAAGAGTATCTCTGTCACCTCACATCCCCACCCCTACAAAAAAGAAATCTAAAAAAGTGTTGTTTCCCCCTGGCAAAAACAGATCTTATTACAACAGGAAAGCCTGCTACTTCAAGCCTTAATTTTCTAATTTACGTAGTTCCCCAACTCATACTATTAGGCTGGCAGAAATTTGGGTAAAGAAAGTTTATTTGGGGGGCGCCTGGGTGGCTCAGTTGGTTAAGCATCTGCCTTGGGCTTGGGTCGTGATCCCGGGGTCCTGGGATTGAGCCCTGTGTCAGGCTCCTTGCTCAGCCAGGAGCCTGATTCTCCCTCTCCCTCTACTTGCCGCTCCCCCTGCTTGTGCTCTCTCTCTCTCTGTCAAATAAAATGACTGAGCCACCAGGGCGCCTGGGTGGCTCAGTCAGTTAAGTGTCTGCCTTCGGCTCAGGTCATGATCCCAGGGTCCTGGGATCGAGCCCCACATTGGGCTCCCCGCTCCACGGGAAGTCTGCTTCTCCCTCTCCCACTCCCCCTGCTTGTGTTCCCTCTCTCAATGTCTCTCTCTGTCAAATAAATAAATAAAATCTTAAAAAAAAAAAAAATGACGGAGCCACCTAGGCATCCCTAAATAAAATCTTTAAAAAGAAAGAAAGAAAAGGAATAATATGAATCATTAAAAATACGGAGATAAATCTGCGGTACTTCCATAGGAAAACATCTAAAATTTATTAAGTGGCAAAAAGCAATTTGTAAAACAGTATGTATACCGTTATCCTATTTTTAAAAATAAGTAATTTCTGGGGCACCTGGGTGGCTCAGTTGGTTAAGCATCTGCCTTCGGCTCAGGTCATGATCCCAGGGTCCTGGAATCAAGCCCCGTGTCCAGCTCTCTGCCTGGCACGGAGCCTGCTTCTCCCTCTCTCTCTGCTGTTCTACCTGCTTGTTCTCTCTCTGTCTCTCTCTCTGTCAAATAAATAAATAAAATCTTTTTAAAAAATAATAAATAAATAAATAATTTTGTATATTATGAATACATGGAATGAGGGGGAAAATTATTGCACATATACTGAACTGTTAACAGTTGCTGTATCTGGGGAGATACGATTATAGGACTTCATTTTTTTAATGTTATGCATTTTTATTAATACAAAAAATTTTTAAAGGGTGTTTTTTTTTAAAGGTTTTTATTTATTTGTCAGAGAGAGAAAGAGAGCACAAGCAGGGGGAGCAGCAGGCACAGGGAGAAGCAGACTCCCCGCCGAGCAAGGAGCCCGATGTGGGGCTCAATCCCAGGACCTGAGATCATGACCTGAGCTGAAGGCAAACGCTTAACCAACTGAGCCACCCAGGCGTCCCTAAAGGGTTTTATTTATTTAAGTAATTGCTACCACAAGGTGGGGCTCGAACTCACGACCCCAAAATCAAGAGTCACATGCTCTACTGACTGAGCCAGCCAGGTGCCCCTATTAATACAAATTTTAAATGAGCACTAAAATCATTCACAAGAAAAAACAAACAAACAAACCAGTGTAGATAAATTTTGCTCTGGGGGAAAATGAGTCCCAATTATTCCATTCTTCATCCTCATGACCATTTCTCACCACTTCTCTCTTTTTCAAAAACACTCCTGACTCCTAACATGACACCTGAAGACATGGGTCAGTCCCTCCGGTTATCGCCCCTTAGGGAAATTCCCGTTACTCACACTCTGACAGCTTTTTGCAGATTCCCGCTCTCAAACCTTGACTCAAACAGGAGAGTATTATCCTCGGGTCCCTGCAGCGTGACGGCAAGCTCCCTGATAATCCCTCGCTTACCTCCCACTCTGGAACTGGTGAAATAGGAACCTTCAGTGGGTACTGTGGATGAGACAGACATATTTAGGGTGGGTTCCACTTAGAATCCATTCATCCAGCCAATATTTACTGAGCTCCTCTGTGTGTTCGATGCCATACCAGGTTAACAATAATGAATATTCAGATTTTCAACCGTCCCTGCTGAGATTTTTTAATTTTATTTTTTTAATTTTTAAAAATTTTATTTATTTACTTGACAGAGAGAGACACAGCGAGGGAGGGAACACAAGCAGGGGGAGTGGGAGAGGGAGAAGCAGGCTTCCCATGGAGCAGGGAGCCCAGTGTGGGGCTCGATCCCAGGACCCTGGGATCATGACCTGAGCCGAAGGCAGACGCTTAACGACTGAGCCACCCAGGGGACCCGAGATTTTTAAATTTTAAACATCGGATTTCTCTGAAGACCTTTAAGGTGGTGTAGAGCACTTCCTTTTGCTGCATGGCTGTGCCCTGGGCATCTCAGATACTATTTGTACCCACTTAAGCCCTAATTTAAAAGCATGTGGACAAATGATTTTCCACATAGAACATCATTTACAGTCTTAATTCTAAAAAAAAAAAGCACCTATTTATTAATTTAAAAAAAGGGTAAAGGAGAAAACAAAAAAGAGATAATAAAGTATACTTCATATAATTTTTTGGTATATCCTTCCAGATTTAAATATAAAAAAATTAGAAGTTTGGGAAGAATTGGCATGGGTGAATTAACTTATGAAGGGAACGAAAATATCATAGTAATTAGAGAAAAGAAAAGGTTCTGATTGAAATTTTATCTTTAAAGTGATGCTAAAACAAAAAAATATAAAATTTATTTAATAAAAATTAGATTATAATCACCTCTTTCTATCCTTTTGGTGGGGTTGAAACTTTAAAAAAATATTTATTTCTTTGGGGAGAGGGAAGAGAGAGAGCACTGTGGGAGAGGCAGAGAGAGAATCTTTAAGCAGATTCCCTGCTGAGTGCAGAGCCCCACATGCAGGGCTCAACCCCAGGACCCTGAGATCTCAACCTGAGCGGAAACCAACTGAGCCACCCAGATGCCCTGTAATTTGTTTTTAAAGATTTTATTTTAAGTAATCTCTACTCCCAACATGGGGCTTGAAATTATAACCCCAAGATCAAGAATCACATGCTCCACTGACGAGCCAGCCAGGCAAATTCAATGAGACTGCCATATGACATCTTTGATTTTTACAGTTACTTTTGCAAAACTATTTTAGGGCTTCATAGTTTCCCCAAGGACTTTGTACCACAATATTCTTTTTTTTTTTTTTAAAGATTTTATTTATTTATTTGAGAGAGAGAATGAGATAGAGAGAGAGAGCATGAGAGGGGGGAGGGTCAGAGGGAGAAGCAGACTCCCTGCTGAGCAGGGAGCCCGATGTGGGACTCGATCCCGGGACTCCAGGATCATGACCTGAGCCGAAGGCAGTCGCTTAACCAACTGAGCCACCCAGGCGCCCTGTACCACAATATTCTTATCATTGTGTCTAGAAGAACCTGTTTTGTCATCTTTTGTTGATTTTCTCTTTGTTAACTGAAAAAAAAAATTTCTAGATTCTCATTTGTCAGTAGCTTTGTAAGTGATTCAAGCAATTCTTCAACATTCATAACTTCATAAAATCCTGCATGTCTTGTAAGGATAATTTCACTTTGCAACTGATTTTTACTGTACTTGCATTATATTGTCAGATATTAATAATATCCACCAATCAGCAAGTGACTGATATCAACAAAGATGCTGACCATGGGGCAGGATAGATGCCAGCATGAAACAGTATGGGGGCTTATTTTATTAGCATGGGGGCTTATTTATTTTTATTTTATTATTTTATTATTATTTCATTAGCAAATATCTTCATATTATGACTTTTGCTTTGATACGCAACTCTGTCACTGTGGAGACTCAGGTAATAAACATTTAGATAATAAAGGAGAGCAAAAGAGAAAGCATACATATAAGGAAGCACATAATAGAAGAAAGCAAGCACAGAGGAGGCAGGAGCAGAAGAGGCCCCAAGTGTACACATAATCGGGGCTCCTGGGTGGCTCAGTCAGTTAAGCATCTGACTTCGGCTCAGGTCATGATCTTGGGGTCCTGGGATGGAGCCCCATGTTAGGCTCCATGCTCTGCAGGGAGTCTGCTTGTCCCTCTGTCCCTCCCCCTGCTCATGCTGTCTCTCTCAAATAAGTAAATAAAACCTTTTTTAAAAAAAGAAAGAGTACACGTAATCCAATTAAAAGCTGGGGACCCACAGGGGCACCTGGGTGGCTCAGCTGGTTAAGCGACTGCCTTCAGTTCAGGTCATGATCCCGGAGTCCTGGGATCAAGTCCCACATCAGGCTCCCAGCTCAGCAGGGAGCCTGCTTCTCCCTCTGACCCTCTCCCCTCTCATGCTGTTTCTCTCTCTCTCTCAAATAAATAAATAAATAAAATAAAAATCTTTAAAAAAAAAAAAAAAAGCTGGGGACCCACATGGTCCAGTCTCTACAATTAATACAGGAATTTTGAGTCTCTCAGGCAACATTAAAGATGATCCTATTCATAGCCCACAGTAACATTTGCTAGTATTTGGGGTTTTTTAAAAGATTTTATTTATTCATTTGAGACACAGAGATACAGAAAGAGAGAGAGCAAACACAAGTAGGGGGAGAGGCAGAGGGAGAGGGAGAAGCAGACTCCCCACTGAGCAGGGAGCCTGATGCGGGGCTCTATCCTAAGACTCACAGACCATGACCTGAGCAGAAGGCAGACACCTAACCATCTGAGCCACCCAGGCACCCCTCTTTGCTAGTATTTGGTTGAGGATTTTTGTATTTATATTCATAAGGAATACAGTTTTCCTGTGATGTCTTTGTCTAACTTTGAATAGTGACTTCGTAAACAGTTGGAAATGTTTCCTCCTGCTACTATTTTCAGAGTTTATGAAGGATTAGTACTATTTCATCTTTAAATGTTTGATACAATTCAAACAAACCCTGTCCCCATCTGGGCAAGGAATTTCTTTGCAGGAAGATTTTTTTTAAAGATTTATTTATTTATTTATTTTAGAGAAAGAGAGAGAAAGAGAAAACCCAAGCACAAGTGGGGGGAGGGGCAGAGGGAGAGAAGCTCAAACAAACGCCCCACTGAGTGTGGAGCCTGAGGTGGGGCATGATCATATGATCCATGAGAACATGACCTGCACAGAAACCAAAGTTGGACACTAGCTGACTGAGCCACCCAGGCACCCCTTTGCAGGAAGATTTTTAATTACTAATTCAATTTCTTTGTTTTAGTCTATTCAGACTTTTAAACTTTCTCCCTCAGTCAGTTGTGGTAATTTGTGTTTTTCTAACAGCTTTTCCCGTCCATCTATGTTGTTTATTTTTTTAAAGATTTTATTTCTTTATTTGACAGAGAGACACAGTGAGAGAGGGAACACAAGCAGGGGGAGTGGGAGAGGGAGAAGCAGGCTTCCTATGGAGCAGGGAGCCCGATGTGGGGCTCGATCCCAGGACCCTGGGATCATGACCTGAGCCGAAGGCAGACGCTTAACGACTGAGCCACCCAGGTGCCCCCATCTATGTTGTTTAATTTGCTGGCATGAAGTTGTACCTTGTAATTCTTTTGATTTTTGTAGATTTGATGTTTCTGTCCCCTTTCAATCCTGATTTTGATAATTTGTATCTCCTCTTCTTTTTTCATGGTTGGTCTAGCTAAAGTTTTGTCAATTTTGTTGATGTTTCCAAAGGACTAACTTTTGGTTTGATTTTCCAGATTATTTTCCTGTTTTCTATTTCACTGATTTCCATTCTTATCTTTTTTATGTTCTTCCCTCTGGTTGCTTTGGACTTAGTTTGTGCTTATTTTTCTAATTTATTAATGTGAAAGCTTAGGTAACTGATTTGACATCTTTCTTCCTTTCAAATATAGGCATTCAAAGCCATACATTTATCTTGCAGTGCTTAGCTGCATCCTTTAAATTTTAATATGTTGTTTTATTTTCACTCAGTTTAAGACATTTTTAAATTCTTATGATTTCTTTAACCCATGGGTTACTTAGAAATGTGCTGTTCAATTTCCAAATATTTGTATATTTCCCAGATTTCATTCTGCTATGGATTTTTTTTTTTTAATTTTTAATTTTAAGTAGGCTCCATGCCCAGCATGGAACCCGACGTGGGGCTCAAACCCATGATCCTGAGATCAAGACCTGAGCTGAGACCAAGAGTAGGATGCTCAACCGACTGAGCCACCTAGGCGCCCCCTGTTGTTGATTTCTAATTCAATTTTGTCGTGGTCAGAGAATTTATTTTGTATGACTTCATTCTTTTTAAATGTATTAAGACTTGCTTTACAACCTAGCATATAGTGTATCCTGGGGAATGTACCATGTGCCTTTGAAAAGAATATGTATTTTGCTATTGTTGTTGGGTACAGTGTTCTACAAATTTTTTAAAAAGACATGGATCTGGGCGCCTGGGTGGCTCAGTTGGTTAAGCGACTGCCTTCGGCTCAGGTCATGATCCTGGAGTCCCGGGATCGAGTCCTGCATCGGGCTCCCTGCTCGGCGGGGAGTCTGCTTCTCCCTCTGACCCTCCTCCCTCTCATGCTCTCTGTCTCTCATTCTCTCTGTCTCAAATAAATAAATAAAATCTTTAAAAAAAAAAAACACATGGATTCTACCTGTAGGAAGCTTACAAATTAATGGAAATCAATTAAACCACATAGTAAATGATAGTCATTGCACATACTACAAAGTACTCACTAAAGTACATACAGAGATGGAGAAAAGAAGAGCAAGTTCCCCGAATATCCAATATCTGATTTTCAGGAAGGGGAATGACACAGAAGAAGCTCTAAAATGGGCTTAGAACTATTAAGACAAAGTACCATAATTTTAAAAAAACAGTTGAAATTTTAAAGCTGATTGGCCATGAATATCAGGGTTCCTATTCAGGTTGGTCTGGAAAGACAGTTTATCACTAAACTACAGATTTTTAAAAAAACACTGTTATTATAGAAAATATGTTTATTATAATTTTGTCATGATTAATCACCAACTGTTCAGTGTAATAACAATACCTGAATCTAATTGATAGACAACTGTGCCTTTATCTTCTCCTACAATTTCTGGTAACTTTTCATTTCCTGTAGGTTGATAGAAATATTCTGGTTGAGGTGGAACCCACTCTGAAAGAAAACATTAAAGAAGCAAAAAATAAGAAATAATATAAAAGGTTCTTTATCCAAAAGTAATATACAATTATAATAATTATTATTCAAGTGACTAGTTTGGTTGAATCAAACCAAATTCCCACTCTAAGTTTCCAATTTGTTTGTAAATTAATTACGTCTTCCTTCTTTCCATAAAGACTATGAGATTTTTAACAAAAAGCATATATAACAGAAGTATAAACTTTAAATAGAAGACTTAAAAATAAGCCAGAAAGGGGCGCCTGGGTGGCTCAGATGGTTAAGCGTCTGCCTTCAGCTCAGGTCAAGATCCCAGGGTCCTGGGATTGAGCCCCACGTCGAGCTCCTGGCTCGGCGGGAGCCTGCTTCTCCCTCTCGCTATGCCTCTCCCCCTGCTCATGCTCTCTCTCTCTCTCTCTTTGTGTCTCTGTGTCTCAAATGAATAGGTAAAATCTTAAAAAAAAAACAAAAACAAAAACGCCAGAAAGGTCAATATAGTTGCTATAATAACTCTTCAAAATTTAGCCCTGAGCTTTTTATTTATTTTTATTTTTTATTTTTTTTAAGATTGTATTTTTAAGTAATCTCTACACCCATCATGGGCCTTGAACTCACAACCCCAAGATCAAGAGTCACATACTCCACTGACTAAGCCAGCCAGGTGTGCCAAGCTTCTTTTTAAAATTAGGAAAATATGTTTAGCTATGTACTTTTTTTATTACTATAGAGGAAAAAGTATATCAATTATTTCAGGGGAAACAAAACTTTTCATTAACACTCAATTCTAAAAGATTTCTTATATGGGACTTGGGCAACTTCTCAGTATCATTTTAAGTATAGTAGCCATTGATGAACACCAAGAGCATATAAAGACACAAGGGAAATTCAACAGTACATTAAAAGGATCATATACCTGATCAAGTGGGATTTATTCCAGGGATGCAAAGATGGTTCAACCTTTGCAAATTAGTTAATGTGATATACCACATTCACAAAACGAAGGGTAGAAATCATATAATCATTTTAATAGATGCAAAAAAAAAAAGCATTTGGGAAAATTCAACATCCATTTATGATAAAAACTCAACACAGCGAGTACAGAAGGAACCGCAACATAATAAAGGCCATATATGTTAAGTCCACAGCTAAAATCATACTCAAATGTGAAAAGCTGTGGGATGCCTGGGTGGCTCAGTCGGTTAAGCATCTGCCTTCAGCTCAGGTCATGATCCCAGGGTCCTGGGATCGAGTCCTGCATCTTTCTCTCTCTCTGACAAATAAGTAAATAAAATCTCAAAAACAAAATGTAAAAGCTGAAAGCCTTTCTTCTAAGATCAGGAACAAGGCAAAGATGCATCAACTTGCAACTTTTATTCAACATAGTATTGTAAGTCCTTGCTAGAGCAATTAGGCAAGAAAAAGAAATAAAAGGCATCCAAATTGGAAAGGAAGAAGTAACACTGTCGGGGTGCCTGGGTGGCTCAGTCGTTGAGCGTCTGCCTTTGGCTCAGGTCATGATCCCAGGGTCCTGGGATTGAGCCCTGCGTTGGGCTCCCTGCTCCATAGGAAGCCTGCTTCTCCCTCTCCCACTCCCCTTGCTTGTGTTCCCTCTCTTGCTGTGTCTCTCTCTGTCAAATAAATAAATCAAATCTTAAAACAAAACAAAACAAAAAGAACCACTTAAAAAAAAAAAGTAACTGTCAAACTGTTACTATTTGCAGATGACTATATGTAAAAAACACTAAAGACTTGATCAAAAAACTGTTAGAATAAATAAATTCAGTAAAGTTGCAGGATACAAAATCAATACCCAAACATATGTTGCATGTTTATACACTAGTAATGAACTATCAGAAAGAAATTAAGAAAACAATCTCATTTACAATTGTATCAAAAGAATAAAATACCTAGGAATAATTTAACCAAGGAGGTGAAAGACTTGTATATTGAAAACTATAAGACATTAATGAAAGAAATTAAAGAAGATACAAATAAGTGAAAAGATATTCCATGCTCATAGGATTGGAAGAATTAATATTTTTTAAATATCCAATAACATTTTTCACAGAAATAGAACAAATAATCCTAAAATTTCTATGGAACCATAAAGACTCTGAATAGCCAAAGAAATCTTGAGAGAAGAACAAAGCTGGAGACTTCATGCTCCCTGATTTTTTTTGAATTTATTTTTTTTTTCGTTTTTTAAAAAAAAATTTTCCTTATTTATTTGTCAGAGAGAGAGAGAGAGCACAAGCAGGGGGAGTGGCAGGCAGAGGCAGAGGGAGAAGAGGGCTCCTTGCTGAGAGGGAAGCCCGATGTGGGGCTCGATCCTAGGACTCTGGGATCATGACCTGAGCCGAAGGCAGATGCTTAACCAACTGAGCCACCCAGGCACCCCTGATTTTTTTTTTTTTTTTATGTAGGCTCCATGCCCAGCATGGAGCTCAACATAGAGCTCCAACTCACAACCCTGAGATCAAAAAAAGAAACTAAATGAAAAAAAATCTATAAAAAAAATTACCAAAAAAAAAAAAAAAGACTAGAAATAACAAGTGTTAGCGAGGATGTGGAGAAAAGGGAACCTTCTGTTGGTGGAAATGTAAATTAGTGCAGTCACTATGGAAAAATAGTATGGAGGTTCCTTAAAAAAATTAAAAATTGAACTACCATATGACCCACTAATTCTACTTGTGGGTATTGATCTGAAGGAAATGAAAATACTAACTCAAAAAGATAAGTGTACTCCCATTGCAGCATTATTTACAATAGCAAAGATATGGAAATAACCTAAGTGTTCATCAATGAATGAATGGACAAGGAAATTGTGGTATAAATATACAATGAAATATTATTCATCCATAAAAAAGAATGAAATCTTGTCATTTGTAACAACATGGAAAGACCTTGAGGACATTATGATAAGTGAAATCAATCACACAGAGAAAGACAAATACTGTATGATCTCTCTTACACATTGGATTCAAAACAAACAAGACCAAAAAAACAAGCTTACTGGTGGTTGCCAGAGGTGGGTGGGAGAAATGAGTAAATTGTTTTTGTCTTTTCAGTTTAAAGATTTATTTATTATTTTGGGGGGGAGGGGCAGAGGGAGAGAGAGAATCTCAAACAGATTCCCTGCTGAGCACAGAGCCTCATGTGGGGATCAACCCCACAACCCTGAGATAATGACCTGAGCCAAAATCAAGAGTCGGATGCTCAGCTGATTGAGCACAGAGGCGCCCCTGTTTTTTCAGTTTAAATAAACTTGAATTAAAAAAAAATAACTAGCTCAAGGTCATACAGCTAGTAGGTGGTGGATCTGGGCCTAGAATCTCATTGGAATTACTCCAACATCTGTCCTTAAAATTTTCTTTACTGCTTCTTGTATCATCTTCTTATTGGTTGAACTTAAAAAAAAAAAGAAAGAAAAAATAATAAAGGCAGCTCAGTAATAAAACAATGCTAATTTCTTATCTTTAAGATGGTAGGAAGTGATGAGGCTGTCAATCTGTTTGAAACCATAAGGTGCTTGTTATTAAATTTCCTTGAAATTAAAAAAAAATACTTTTTAAAAGATCTAGTGCTGGAGTGACTGGCTGGCTCCATCAATAGAGAATGCAACTCTTGATCTTGGGGTGGTGAGTTCAAGCCCCATGTTGGGCATAGAGCTTACTTAAAAAAAAAAAAAAAAAATCTCATGCTTTACTATTACCACTGGTTTTAAATTCCAGTTTCCCACTTTTTTTCCTCCCTTGGAACTGAGTCCAAAATCCTCACGGGAATTTTCTTTGCCTATCAACTTGGACTTTTATCTAAAAATTGTACAGGGCAGGGACAAATGCTCTTAGGACTTCTCAGCTATTGTGCCAACTCAAAATGCCACCCCTCCCCCCATTTCCAATCACCTGAAGAGCAGTTCTGTCCCAGTTAAGGCATTGAGCACATCCCTGTATTTTCAGCTTTAGCTCATGTCTTTCATGCTCAATGCTCCCTGGTTGCCCAGACACGCCATGCTCTTTTTCCATGTCCTCTAACTGGAATACTTTCTTTGACCCTCTCAGTTGGATCACTTGTAACTTATCATCAGATCTCAGCTTACATGTCAACTCCTCTCAGAAACCCTCCCTAGGGCGCCTGGGTGGCTCAGTTGGTTAAGCGACTGCCTTTAGCTCAGGTCATGATCCCAGGGTCCTGGGATCGAGTCCCGCATCGGGCTCACTGCTCTGCAGGGAGCCTGCTTCTCCCTCTCCCACTCCCCCTGCTTGTGTTCCCTCTCTCACTGTGTCTCTCTCTGTCAAATAAATAAATAAAATCTTTAAAAAAAAAAAAAAAAAAAAAAAAGAAACCCTCCCTAATCTTCCAGGCTCGGGTTAAGTGTTCGCAGAGGGACCAAACTGTATGCAATTGCCTCATTATATCAGTATCCCTACCAGTATGTGAATTCTGGGTGTCTCCATCTTGTTCATCATTATATCTGAACACCAAGTACTGTACTTACCATATGGCAGAGGCTTAGTAAATATATACTGAATGAATATTGTAAGAGGGAAGTGTGAAAGTAAGAAACATCCAGTTGTTTATCTAGCAGCCTAGAACACACAATGCCTGATAGACACAAGCGTTCCAGCCATTAGAAAAGTCCCCATTTTTCAATGGAACCCACTTTTGAAATGCCTCATGTAATGAATGCTAAAGATTATATCTGCACCACCAATAGCTCAAAGATAAAACCAGCAATCTCACAAAAATAGTCTCTATGACTCCGATAAAAAAACTCCAACAAACTCAAAATACAATTAAAACCAATAAACTCTATGTTCTGGTACATACAGTGTTCATCAATTATACCAAGGCTGGTAAAAATACAACTCCTAAAACTCAACCAAGCATATTAATACTGAGACAGGAATACTAGAAAACAGATTTAAGTATTGATATATTTTGGCCTCTAGAAAGATATCCTCGAATTCCTATACCTCGGAAGCATTTGCGTTTACACAGTTGTGTAACTTTTTACTTTGACCAGTATGTATCAGTTTCTCGGGGCTTAATCAGCTCAGGATGAGCTAATATATGTTGTCCTGCTTTGTACTTCAGTATGCTGGACTTCAAAAGTTCTCTTAACAATGTCTGTCAGGGGGCGCCTGGGTGGCTCAGTCATTAAGTGTCTGCCTTCGGCTCAGGTCATGATCCCAAGGTCCTGGGATCGAGCCCCACATCGGGCTCCCCGCTCTGCAGGGAGTCTGCTTCTCCCTCTCCCACTCCCTGCTGCTCCCCCTGCTTGTGCTCTCTCTGTCAACTAAATAAATAACATCTTTAAAAAAAACAGTGTCTGTCAGAACAGCAGGACCACGACACATAAGTCACATTACCGATATGATGAAGGTTTTCCTTGATGACCTCACATTCTATCGGCCACCTTGGAGCCTGCAGTAGCCCGCTGCTAGAGAAGGCAGCAAAGAGATCTCGGGGTTCTCGGAGACATGGGTTTACTTCGCCAAATTCATCATGAAGAAGTTGTCTGCTCTTAAGTGGTGAACCGAGCATGAGGGAATCTGCAGAGGGGAAGAGAATGAGTGAACGGCTTTCGTTTCCTCCGTGGGGTCTTTGCTGCTCGACTGTGACGACTAACTGGAAGCACTGTATTAGAATATGAGCCCAGGGGGCGCCTGGGTGGCTCAGTCGTTAAGCGCCTGCCTTAGGCTCAGGTCATGATTCCGGGGTCCTGGGATCGAGCCCCGCATCGGGCTCCCTGCTCGGCGGGAAGCCTGCTTCTCCCTCTCCCACTCCCCCTGCTTGTGTTCCCTCTCTAGCTCTCTCTCTCTCTGTCAAATAAGTGAATAAAATCTTTAAAAAAAAAAAAAAAAAGAATATGAGCCCAGGAGCACGATCCTAGACACGCGTCTCCTTCAAAAAGAAGAGTCAGTCCAGGACAATAGCATCAAAATTATGAAAAGTTGGGGCGCCTGGGTGGCTCAGTCGTTAAGCGTCTGTCTTCGGCCCAGGTCATGATCCCAGGGTCCTGGGATCGAGCCCCGCATCGGGCTCCCTGCTCAGCCGGGAGCCTGCTTCTCCCTCTCCCACTCCCCCTGCTTGTGTTCCCTCTCTCACTGTGTCTCTCTGTCAAATAAATAAATAAAATCTTTAAAAAAAATTACAAAAAGTTACATTAACATTCTGTGTAGTCTATTATTTAAATGTAAAGCTTGAAGAAAATTTTTTGTCTTTTACATCAAATTATGTCATAGTTTTGCTTAGAGAGAGGCAAAAGAGGAAACTTTCATTTCACCCATTAGCATTTTGGAGAAAAGTACCTAAGGCTTTATTAACTACAGTGAAACAATCTATAAATTAACTTTCAAGATCAAAAAACCGTGATTGGGAGAACAGAGAGACTAATGAAGAGGGGACCAAAGGGAGGGCAGAGGAGTGAGCAGGGCAGGAGAGAGAGATGAGTTCTTGGGAAACAGAATGAGAAAAAAGGGAGGAAAAGAGGCTTCCAGGGCAGAGAACAAGAAGGGAAATGAGAGGAAGAAAGAAAAGAAAGGAAAGGCAAAAAAAAAAAAAAGAAAGGAAAGGCGAAAGGGAGGAAAGGCGGAAGGGCCCTGGGTGTGGTGAGCGCCAGATCTGGCAGAGAGAGAAGTAAGTGAAGACACTTCCCGGAAAGCAGTTTGAGTTTTCAAGTCTGGAAGGACGCGGAATACCTCTGCTCACAGCATCTAACTGTCTGTGCACAGCTGAAGATAGACAGGTGGGCCCTAGAAAGAGGAAAGAGGAGGCTCAGTTTGTCCTAGGGATCTGTGACTTTCTTTTCTCTGCTCTCTTTCCCTGTCCCTTTCACCGCCTCCCCAACCCCCAGTTAGGGCCCCATTTTTCCTTTCCTTTTTTTTTTTTTTTTAAGATTTTGTTTATTTATTTGAGAGAGAGAGAGAAAGGGAGAGAGTGAGAGAGAGAGTGGGGGGTGGGGTGGGCAGAGGGAGAGGGAGACAAAGACTCCCTGCTAAGCAGAACCCTGGGATCATGACCTGAGCCAAAGGCAGACACTTAACCAACTGAGCCACCCAGGTGCCCTCTTTCCTTCTTTTTTTTTTTCTTTTAAGATTTTATTTATTTATTTATTTTAGAGAGAGAGAGAGAGAGTGTGCTGGGGGGGGGGGAGAGGAGCAAAGGGAGAGGGACAAGCTGACTCCACACTGAGGGCAGAGCCCAAGGCGGGGCTTGATCTCATGACCCTGAGAACATGACTTGAGCCAAAGTCAAGAGTCGGAGGCTCAACCAACTGAGCCACCCAGACACCTGTCTTTTCTTTAAAAAAACTTTTTTTGTTGTTTCTTTAAATTTCAGGGCCCTATTTTTTTTATCTCTTAATCTTTTTCCTAGATTAATGGGGGGAGGGGACAATAAACATTTGAAAAGATGGTAAAGCTGTTCAATCTCACTCATAAAGAACTAGAAACCGGTATGACAAGTAGATACTAATTTTTTACCTGACAGGAAAAACATTTATGTGTTTTCACATTCATCCTGGCACAGGTGTTAAGTAAACAGGTACTCTCAGAACCTGCTGGCAAGAAGGCAAACTGGTGGGGCACCTGGGTATCTCAGTCAATTAGGCCACTGACTCTTGATTTTGGCTCAGGTCATGATCTCAGAGGGTTGTGGGATCAGGATCCACGATCAGTGGCGAGTCTGTATAAGATTCTCTCTCTCCCACTGCCCCTCGTGCTCCTGCTCTCTCTCTCTCTAAAATAAATAAATAAATCTTTAAAAAAAAATACTTTGCTGGGGCGCCTGGGTGGCTCAGTCGGTTGAGTGTTGGACTCCTGATTTCAGCTCAGGTCATGATCTCAGGGTCCTGGGATCGAGCCCCACATCAGGCTCCATGCTGGGCATGCAGTCTGCTTGAGATTTTCTCTCTCCCTCTCCCTCTGCCCCTCCCCCTGCTCATGTTCTCTCTCTAAAATAAATAAAATCTTAAAAAAAAATGCTTTGCTACAAAGATGATGAAAAAATGTCTTCCTCATGCCAGTGATCAAAACAGGAATAAAAGAAGTCCTATCATCAATTACATGCTAAAACTCATTCATATTGTGTTACCTCTACCAGCAGATTTTGAATTTCATGGTGTTTATGATATTGAGGCTGGCAATTGTTTCTTATTATCTTGAGTAAATGGGGCAGGAGGAAATGGAAGGGAGCATCAGTAAATGGGGCAGGAGGAAATGGAAGGGGGCAATCATAAGCCATCCCACCAAGATGAGTTTCCTTTGCTCAACCCCTGCCTTTCTATTCCCTGCCAGGAGCTGTGGGACACAGAATGGAAGAGCCTTCAGGGCACTGGGGTGTGAGCAAACATCTATCTGAAAATGGAATTACTGCATTAAGGGTTATGCACTGTATTAAATTTCCCAAATATCGCCAAATTGCCTTCCTAAAATAGTCTACCTATTCACAGCCCTAACAGCAGTTAGGAGAGTGTTCCCCCATACCCTGACCTCTATGTACTAGGTGTAATTAAAAAAATTTTTTACCCAAATCCCATTAATTTAAAAAATGGTACCTTGACATTTTGATTTGTATCTTTAATTAAAGGTGAAATTGAACATCTTTTCATAAGCTTATTGATTGTGTACATTTTTTTAAATATTTATTTATTTTAGAGAGAGTGAGCTCCCATTCGTGCATATGCACGTGCAGAAGGGGCAGAGGGAGAGAATCCCAAGCTGACACCCCATCCAGCATGGAGCCTGTCTCAGGGCTCAATCCCATGACCCATGAAATCATGACGTGGGCTGAAACCAAGAGTCGGACACCGAACCAACTGAGCTACTGAGGCACCCTGACTGTGTTTGTTTTTATGAAAGGCTTGCTCATGTCTTTTGCCCATTTTTGTATTTGGTCATCTTTTACATATTGATTTTTTTTTTTTAAGATTTTATTTATTTATTTGACAGAGCGAGACACAGCGAGAGAGGGAACACAAGCAGGGGGAATAGAAGAGGGAGAAGCAGGCTTCAGGGAGCCCGATGCGGGGCTCGATCCCAGGACCCTGGGACCATGACCTGAGCCGAAGGCAGACGCTTAACGACTGAGCCACCCAGGCGCCCCTACATATTGATTAAGAGCTACTATGTTAAAGAAAGTAATCCTTTGACATATTTGTCACAATCTTTTTTTTAAGTTTGTTATTTTGCTTTATTAACGGTATTTTATGGCTTTTGGGTTTTGTGTCATTCAAAGGCTTAGAAAAAGGACACAAACAGATTTGCATATAAAAAAGAATAATGCTGTATGGAAAATGGATTGAAAGGGGTTAGCATGAAACAAGAGAAGAATTCAGGAGGCCAATTATTGAGGCTCTTTCAATAGTGAGAAATGATGGTAGCTTGAACTGGGATCAGGGAGGATATGGGGAAAAGTGAATTGATGTTTGGTTGGTTATGTAGTGAGGGAGAAATTCATCTGTACTCCTGCCCTTAGATTCCAGAAGGAACCTGTGAAATCCTTGTGAAAAATTATTTTTTGGGGGGTTGCATGGATGGCTCAGTTGGTTGAGCGTCCAACTCTGTTTCAGCTCAAATCATGATCTCAGAATTGTGGGATCGGGCCCTGCTTCAAACTCCAATCCCAGCAGGGAGTCTGCCTGTCCCTCTCCCTCTGCTCCTCCTCTCTCTCTCTGTCTTTAAATAACTAACTAATTAATTAATTAATTAAATTTTACAAAATTATTTTTGCTTAAGCTAGCTGAAATTCGTTTCCACCACTCTTCCATAAAGCGCCTTAACAAATATACCTGCCAAAACTGTGTAAAAATCATTGTGCTAGTCTTGACCACAGTGTTAACAAATTTTCCAAAAATTTGAAGAAAAGTAATCCAGAATGTATAGTATTTTAATTTAAACCTATAATCCAAAGTGGATCTAGATATAACCTTTTTGAGTGATGTCAGAAACTGGCCAAGGCTGTTCCTCTGGCTTTTGCCGTGTTAGGCCATGTTCTCCCGAATACCCCAAGGAGTGGCTCAAGGCAGTGAGATTTCTGGGGTTCACACCCACTGATCATTACTCACATAGTAGCTTCTCCTTTTGCAGCGGGTCTGGTATCACATCCTCTCTTTCCCCAAAAGAGCCACTCACCAGGTAGCGAGGATTCTTCTTCCAAACATGCTGGTGCGTGGCTGAGTTTGGTAAACTGCCTCTCTGAGCTACAAATACGCAATGTAATTAAAGGTGCTGGAAGGCCGGCTCATCACCTGTAACATCTAGGTCAATACCAAAACCACTGGTACTATCCAAACTGCCACTGCTTCTGTTACCACCCATCACCACCACAGGCCTTTACAATGAATATATCCCATTTTCCAAAGAACTTTCATATTCCAATTTCCGTGAGTGAAGCCTCATTTTCTCCACTTTACAGTGAGGAGAGACCTGAGAAGCAGCATGGTAGGGTGGAAAGAGAAAGGTGCCCAAAGCTGCTTTGTCTTGAGGGCTCTGTTGAATCTGGCAAACTGGAAATTCAGTTTTCAACAAATTAGAAATGACTTTAAAAATGAAATAGTAAGAAAATTTAATAAGGTTGATAGAAAATCAATATTGAAACTTAATTTTATTTCTAAATACCAGAACAAAGTTAGAAAATAAGAATATAAAGAGATACCATTTATGGTAACATAACAATATGAAGTTCCATGAAAAAAATATAAATCTTTACTGGGAGACATTAAGCAAGATCTATGTAAATGAAGAAATAGAGTATATTCATAGGTTGCAGAACACCCTCCCCAAATAAAAATAAAAAAGAGATTGCAAAACCCAGTATTGGAAAACTCTCATTTCTTGTGACATTTGATCTACAGATACAATGCAATCCCAATTTTTTAAACATCACAAGCTAATTGTAAAATTACATGGAAAAGGCAAGAATAGCCAAGACACTTCTGAAGAACACGATGGAGGACATGTCTTTCCAGATTATCAAGACTATTTTAATGCCATATAGTGTAATTAAGAAATATTGGTACAAGGATAGACAGACCCTTGTATACACAGGCACTCAAAAGAGGTGACATAGCAGATCAATGGGGAAAGGAAGTACTTTTCACTTCCCTTCATCTTTCCCTCATGGTGCTAGAAAAATCTGTCATTAATTTATCCAAATGTAAGTCTCCAGTTAATCTAACCATTTACTCCATGAAGGCAGGAAAGGTGATGCTCGGTAAGAATACGCTATTACCTTTAAAGTAGCCATAGTATTGAAGATGATGGTACATAAAATCTTCATAGGGATCAGGAAGAGCCTGTGAAAGGAAAAGCCCTATCGATTAGGAAAGTCCTTTCAAATAATACTGAACTCTTAACAAAAGGCACACAAGAATTGTTGCAAAGGACAACCGTTCTTGAGTTCCTGAGGACATCTGTAAACAAACCAAGTGAAAGACATTCACGCAAATTATTCTATCTTGGGGATCAAGATCTCCTGCCACAAAAAGGTGCCACCAGAATATGCCTTCTGATCTAGTAGTAGTGGATTTCTGTGGAGTTCCTGGAGAGGGGAGTGTACCCACCTCCTGCTTTAGCTCGGTTTCCAATGCTGGGAACATGTTACTTCTGCATGGTATGCTGAAGACAAGTCAGTGACACCGGCATCCGGCCACAACCCCTGCCCAGTTTCCAAAAGGGCAGCTGATTACACAGAAGCTAAAAAACCGGAGCAGGACAACTGAAAAAAAACTGCCGATTTCACCCCACCGTCCTCCACCTGCGCGGCTCTCACGCGACTTTAAGAAAACTTGTCTTGGGCGCCTGGGTGGCTCAGTTGGTTAAGCGACCGACTGCCTTCGGCTCAGGTCGTGGTCCTGGAGTCCCGGGATCGAGTCCCGCATCGGGCTCCCTGCTCGGCGGGGAGTCTGCTTCTCCCTCTGGCCCTCCCCCCTCTCATGTGCTCTCTCTCATTCTCTCTCTCTGAAATAAATAAATAAAATCTTAAAAAAACAAAAACAAAACAAAACTTGTCTCAGCGCTCCCTCTTCCCCGCCAATCCAGCCTCTCAAACATACAAGCACCTGGCTACTGGTTCCTACTCTGAGGCCCAGAGGAGGCACACCTGAGGAATGAGGGAGGGCGGCTTGTCTTCCAGTCTGGGCCTCCCGCGGCACCTGGACCCTTGGGGCTCCCATGCTTCCCTCTCGGAGGAGGGAGATGCCCACCACCAGGACGCAACAAGAAAGTGAAAGAAATGGGGATGGAGGGATCCAACGGAGTTGCCTCGGAGTAGATAAGAAAGGTCAGGGGCCCGGGAAGTGGGCCCTGAAAATGGAATTCAGGGGTTCAGGGCTTCCTGGTGCCGGGGAAGGTGAGGAGGGGTAGTTTCTCTGAAGAGTCGGAGAGGGAGCGTAGAGATTTCCTAGGAGGGCAGAGGGAAGGGTGCGATTCCCCTCCGCTCCCGGCCTGTCTGCGGCAGCAGGGGTGTGCGCCGCGCCTGCCGCGGCAGAGACGCCAAAGCGAGGCGGGAGGCCACCGCACTGCAGGGGACAGCGGCCGAGCCTCGCAGCAAGCAGAGAACACGCTCCCAGCGCTCGCCCGCCACCGCAGTCGGCTAGGGCCCCGGTAGCCTAGCAACCGCGAGGCGGAAACGGGAGGGCAGGGCGGCAGGACGCTTCCGGGGAGCGAGGCCCCGCCTCCCGGGCCGGGTGGGACCCTGGGAAATGTACCCGGGTGCGCCAGCCTCCGGTTTTTCAGACGCATTGCTCCTTTCATCCGATGTTGCAGCCCCGCTTCTGGGGCACCGAAATTGGATTGGTGAATACAATGCCAGTTAGTGGTCCTCAAAAATATTCTTAACTTCCTTAAGCATCCTATTCTTGGCTTGGGCTCAGGTCATGATCTCAGGCCCTGCCTTGGCTCGGGCTCCCCGAGGAGTGTGCTTAGGATTTTCTCTCCCTCTCCCCCTGCCCCTCCCTCCCTTTCGTGCTCTCTCTAAAATAAATGTTGGGACGCCTGGGTGGCTCAGTCGTTAAGCGTCTGCCCTTGGCTCAGGTCATGATCCCAGGGTCCTGGGATTGAGTCCCAAATAGGGTTCCTTGCTCGCTGGGAGCCTGCTTCTCCCTCTGCCTGCCACTCCCCCGCTTGTGCTCGCTCTGACAAAATCTTTTAAAAAAATAAATCTTAAAATTCCAAACTTCTTTGCCATTCCTTAGCTTTAGGTTAACTGTCAGGTGTTGGCTCAAAAGGAGCGGTTTCCCCTCTCCGACCTTGTATCTCACCACCCCATAGCTAGATTTGAAAAATTACAAGAAAACGGAAACCACACTTTTTGACCATCAAATTGTTAAGACTCTAAAGCGCTCCATTCTGTTAAGATGGTAACAAAGGGTGGCTCAGTCATTATCCCAGGGTCCTGGGATGGAGCCCCACATCCTGCTTATCCAGGAGCCTGCTTCTCCCTCTCCCACTGCATCTCCCCCCTCAGTGTTCTCTCTCGTTCACTCTAACAACAACAAAAAGATAGTGACAAAGGTACTGGTGCTCTGCAGCAATTCCTACAAGTCTAGAAAACGGCTAGACAGTTAAAGCAAAAGCTTTAATTGCTAGTTGGTATTTCTTCAAATTTGCTCTATGCAAATTACAAGAAAAAGTTTGTATACAAAATGTCACCCCAACCTACATAATGGGTAAATAAAATTCAACGCACTGGTATACAGGACATCGAGTAGGTAAAACTTCTCAATTACATGCAAATAAATAGATTGGAATAAAATTCAAACTATTAATTGTTATCTTTGGTTAGCTTTATATGAATGTAACCAAGGTAGAGATTACCTCTATAATCAGAGAAAAAAGCGATCTTCAAAACCACATCACATCATTTCCAGGATTTTAGGTCAAACATTAGCTAATATTATACAGTACAAGCTCCAAAATTTAAGTCATAGAACCTTCTGGTGCCAGAAACCTGTTTTTCTCACCCTGTCCCCACCCCCACTCTTACTCCCACTGACTCAAGATCCTGCCGCTCTTCTTTTTCCTGAGAGCTGTTCTTCAATGTTTACACATGCTTTACGCTGTGTTTGGTAAGAAAAAACAATTAAGACTGGCCTTAAAACAAGTCTTGATGACACAATCATGAAATAACAGCCTTAGAAGAGCAAAAGGATAACCAATCAGAAGTATAAAAAAAGCTTTATTAGAGCATATATACAAATTTACAAGGCCAGAAACTGGAGAAATACAAACAGCTTTAAAACACAATTTGCCGTTTCTTCAGTTTAAAGTGACTTTTACCTGATTGTGATACAACAGAAAGTACAGAACAGTAAACTGCTTTTTAAATACTGGAATTTTATGGAGAGTACATTCACATAAAAGGAAGGTGAATTTTGGAACAAAGTTAAGACAATGGAGACACATTAATACATACAGTGGCTCTTGTTGTATTTCCTGCCACACAGATGAGGGGAAATCCTCAAACTTAAAGATAGGATCACCTGCTGCTGCCGGTACTGAAATTTGAATCCGCCACTAGTGTGTGAAATGACTGAGCTACCAGTTCTAGGTGTGAGAAAGAGCTCTCCAGAGTGTGTGGTCATCTGTCAGCACAAGGGAAACGCCTCACTATACCTCAGCACTTGAGGGATGGCAGGCTGGAAGAGGTCAGATTCCGATAATCCCAGTTAAGCAAAACAGAATACAGAGCTGCCTTCTTAATTGCACTTGTTCTGGAGTAGAAGTTAATGAGAGAGAGCCGCACTAGGAACTAGGTGAGCCTCTATGAGACGGAAAATCCTTCACTTTTTGTCAGTGAGTCCTCTGCTGATGTATCACACTCCTGAATCACATGTTCCAGATCAATGAGGTTAATGTACCTGATATGCTGAGCTTGCCAGTGTGAGAATAAAGGCAGCCACGTCAAAGCACTCGGTCAACCTCACCCTTCAGCAAAACAAAAATTACATTTCACAAATGTGAAAACGCTGTACGTGTGTATGCTTTTGCCCAGGAAATTCATATGCTCTCCCTCATAACATTTATAGTTTATTGACAACAGTAAAACTGGTGAAGACTCTGAACTGAACGCCAAGAAGAAAAAAATCAGTAATAAAAAACCCCCCGCCCCCCCCACAAAACTATGTGTTTGGAGCCATTTTCCTCCTCTTCAGTCTTGCTCGCCAATCCTCAGGAAGCGCTTCAAAATTAGCATTCCTCTCTGCCATGCCACTGTGAAAACAACACACAGATTACTTCACTGGGAAGAAAAAGGAGGAAACTGTTCACAAAAACCAGTACCTGACACTGAAACTCTCATCTTTGTTCATGAATGTACTTCAGAAAGTTTCTCAACTACCAATATACTCATCAAATTTCTTAATTCTGATGCATCAACCAAAGACACACACGCTCTCTCTACAGTTGTATGAACACGTAAATGCATATTTTCTTTTATCTATCTCCTGTAACCATTAAAGCCACACTGAAGGAGTAAAATTCTTTTTTTTTTTTTAATTTATTTATTTGAGAGAGACAAATAGTGACAGAGAGAGAGAGAGAGCACGCACAGCAGGGAGAGCAGCAGAGGGAGAGGGAGAAGCAGGCTCCCTGCGGAGCAGAGAGCCCGACGCGACGCGGGGCTCTATCCCAGGACCCTGGTATCATGACCTGAGCCAAAGGCAGACACTTAACCCACTGAGCCACCCAGGTGTCCCAGGAATACGACAATTCTTGTGAAAGTTTATCTTAGTCCCAAAGAGTTCCAATTCTTTAGGAAAGGTATATTTTAGCCCTCAATTTACTGTCAGGAAGCTTTGGTTTTTGAAATTCTCTTTTGAACAGTTCTATTTGTACGGACTGATACCTCATGGCTTATTCAATTATTTTCAAGATAGATTAAGCTCAGATTCTATCTTACAATAACTAGAATGGATGCATTGGACCCTTTTATAAATCTAAAATAATCTAATTACAGAATCTTTGTGATTTCCCCACCTATCATCTTGAAATAGTCTGCTATTTAATTATAGGAATTAATCATTACTCAATTCCCAGCAATACTAAATAAGACAAAAAAAATAATAAGAAAACCGAATAATGGAATCACCCACAAGGATGAGGCAAAAGTGCAATACAACTGTCACTAACAGTACCCCTCAGTTTTCTTATTGTGCTGCCCCAAATATAGAGTATACAACGGGACGCCTGGGTGGCTCAGTCGGTTAAGTGTCTGCCTTCGGCTCAGGTCATGATCCCAGGGTCCTGGGATCGAGTCCCGCATTGGGCTCCCTGTTCCACGGGGAGCCTGCTTCTCCCTCTGCCTCTGCCTCTCTCTCTCTCTCATGAATAAATAAATAAAATCTTTAAAAAAAAAAAAAAAGAGTATACAACCTTTCAAGGTAGTAAAAAAGTCTGGAGGCAACATCTTCATAGTCCCCTCCCACCCCAATATTATTATTACTATTTTTTAAGTAAGCTCTATGCCCACCGTGGGGTTGAACTCACAACCCCAAGATCAAGAGTTGCATGCTATAGCAACTGAGCCAGCCAGGTGCCCCCACCCCGCAAATATTAGACAAGCCAGAAGATAAATGCAAACAGACAGTGGCATTGTACATTCTAATTATGATGGTAGAACTCACTGGGTAAGTAAAATTTCAGACTATGGGTATTAAGAGGACCATATCCTAGAAGAATTTTCTCAAATTTGAGATTGATAAGAGTATATTTCTTTTTTTTAATTAAAGATCTTACTTATTTGACAGAAATACAGGGAGAGAGGGAACACAAGCAGGGAGAGTGGGCGAGCGAGAAGCAGGCTTCCCACTGAGCAGGGAGCCCAATGCGGGGCTCGATCCCAGGACCCCGGGATCATGACCTGAGCCGAAGGCAGACGCTTAACGACTGAGCCACCCAGGCGCCCCTTGAGTACCCATTTTTTTATTTATTTGACAGAGAGAGACACAGCAAGAGAGGGAACATAAGCAGGGGGAGTGGGAGAAGCAGGCTTCCCACCGAGCAGGGAGCCCGATGCAGGGCTCGATCCCAGGACCCTGGGATCATGACCTGAGCCGAAGGCAGACGCTTAACGACTGAGCCACCCAGGTGCCCCTCACCTCTTTCTTCTGAATGCCAAAGCTAATTAGCCTCCCTGACAAAGCAGCACTGCAACACATTTCCCAAGCTGTCAGGCTCAAGTCTGTGGTTTTCCAGTCCAGTGCTTGTCAGGCTTCACTGCACATGAGAGCTTTAAAAATTCTAATGCCCAGGCCATAACCTAGAACCATTAAATCAGAATTGGGGGAGGAATGGAGTCCAAGCAGCTTTTAAAGATCCTTTAGTGGTTCCCATGTGCAGCAACACTGATGCCAATCTAGTCCGTCCCCCTATTTTATTTTTTATTTTATTTTTTTAAATCTTTTTTTTTTTTTTAAAGATTTTATTTTTTTATTTGAGAGAGAGAGAGAGAGCACATGAGAGGGGGGAGGGTCAGAGGGAGAAGCAGACTCCCTGCCAAGCAGGGAGCCCGATGCGGGACTCGATCCTGGGACTCCAGGATCATGACCTGAGCCGAAGGCAGCCACTTAACCGACTGAGCCACCCAGGCGCCCCCGTCCCCCTATTTTATTTATTTATTTGACAGAGATAGAGACAGTGAGAGAAGGAACACAAGCAGGGGGAGAGGGAAAGGGAGAAGGAGGCTTCCCGCAGAGCAGGGAGCCTGATGCGGGGCTCGATCCCAGGACCCTGGCATCATGACCTGAGCCGAAGGCAGAAGCTTAATGACTTAGCCACCCAGGTGCCCCGGAAGAGTGTATTTCTAAGAACAAAATTTCTAAGAATTAAAAAGGAACAACATCGGCGGGGCAGTGGCTCAGTTGGTTAAGTGGCTGCCTTCAGCCCAGGTCATGATCCCAGGTCCTGGGATTGAGCCTTGCATTGGGCTCCTTGCTCAGCGGGAAGCCTGCTTCTCCCTCTCCCTCTGCCTGCCGCTCTCCCTGCTTGTGCTCTTCTCTCTCTAATAAATAAATCTTAAAAAAAAAAAAAGGAACATCATCACCCTATTATTTTGTAATGATAACCGGGACTATCTCATTTCCCTAAAATGACACGTGATAGGAATCTTCCAGGTTTTATGATGCTGTATGCTACAATTTATTTCATAGGGTTCTGAAGTAGACAAATGCTAAAAGCAGGTATGTAATAACTGGAGAAATGGACATTTTAGAAACAAAAAAATTTCCTTATAATGACCATTCCAATTGGTATTTATATATCTAAAAATAAAAATGTTTTGAATTATGAAACAAAAGATGGTGATCCTCTCCCAAATGTTTTCATTGATGTTGCAAGTGTGAGAACCAGAAGTAATGATAAGCTGGAACCTATCCGAGACGGATGTGAAATACAGTAGCACTACTTATGAGTATGTTGCTCAGAGTTTACTCTATATACCTTCAAAACCAGGAAAAAAAAAATATTTGAGTTAATTATGTTTACAAATTCTTAGCAGAATCTCTTATGGAGTTTTCTCCCCTTCCCTTTTTAAGTAATCTCTGCAACGCAACATGAATTCACAACCCCAAGATCAAGAGTCCCATTCTCCACGGACTGAGTCAGCCGCCCTCCTTTTAACTTAAATTATTGTAAAATAATTTTTAAAAAAACTGTAAAAGGGTCTATTAGATCTACATGGTAAAAGGGACATCTGTTTTTCCTGGTATGCTCAGAGTTAAAAACACTCCTTTACTTAAGAGAAACAATTTGAAGGATAAAGTGTTAAAACTCTGGTATTTCTAATTTTGAAAAAGGGTAAATCGTAATTTTTACAGGGAAATAAACATTACTGTGAGTTATAAACCTTTCGATACATTTGTAAAAAAAAAAAAAAAAAACACCAAACATTAAGGACTGTGATTCAAAGACTATGACAAGTGTCTGAAGCCACCAGCACAACCCACTCATCTGCAGTCTCTCTGTACCTGACCAGCTGCTGCTGCTTCCACTCTTCGATTCGCTTCTGTGTGGTTGATTCCCGGTCCTCTTCACTGGAACTAGAGTTCTCCTCTTCATCTAACTCACGCTGGATACTCTGCCACTTCTTTACCAGAGATGGCATTTTGGTTTTACTCTTCTTTGTCTAGGGCAAAGGTTAAAGGTCAGGAAGAAGATAATACATAAAACATGGAAATGAGAGCCACCTAAGATCAAGATCCCTTCTTAGTTCTAAGGAATAAGGGGACTTTAAAACCAAAGGGACAGAAACACAGAAAATAAATACCATTGTAAGTTCCTGCCAAAAATTTCTACCAACTATGCACCTAATGCTTGGTTGAAAATCTAAAAACTGTAAAAAAGAAAAAAAAAATCTAAAACTTTAAACATATTTTTATTAAATCGGGTCAGAAAAATTTCCTTTAGCGTCATTATTCTATGGAATTCAAAACTGTTGCCCTTAGCTCAGCTCAGAATTACAGTGTTGCCTTTGGCAAGTTTTAAATAGATGCCGTGTTCACATCAAGTATGGATGCCATGTTCACATCAAGTGAAAAATAGAACTGAGAAATAAATGGCCAGCTTTTCTGTAAAGAGCAACATAGTCAATGGCAACAAAATATAAAAAATGCAAGGAGATATAACATCAAAATATTAGTAAGATTAGTTCTAAGAGAAGATTTTATTTTTATTCTTTTGGCTCTTCTTCATTTTCTAAATTATCTATAATATGTACTATCATAGTAAAAAAAAATATGCTGGTGATACTTAGAAAAGTAGAACTATGTATGTCCAACATGGTTTGCTCTGTTATTACCCTCAGGCCTCTGTTCAAAGGCACTCTAGCTAAGAGGCTTTCCCTGACCACCCTATCTGAAACAGCACCACCTCCCAAAGACTACTTTTTGTCCTCTAACACTGATTGTTTTGCCTCACTGCATTTTTTTTTTTTTAAAGCACCAAACATGCACATACTTGCCTATTTGTCTCCCCATTCCCCCTTCTTCTCCAGCCCTCCGGAAGGGAATCTCCACAAAAACAGGATTTGTTTGTCTGACTCACTATTGGATCCCAAGCTTCTAAGGAGAATGCCTGACAAATCGTATGCATTAGAAATATTTTATCCCCTGTATTTTTTTTTTAAGATTTTATTTATTTATTTGAGAGAGAGAGAGACTGAGAGAGAGAGAGCACATGAGAGGGGGGGAGGGTTGGGAGGGTCAGAGGGAGAAGCAGACTCCCTGCCGAGCAGGGAGCCCGATGCGGGACTCAATCCAGGGACTCCAGGATCATGACCCGAGCCGAAGGCAGTCGCTCAACCAACTGAGCCACCCAGGCGCCCTTTATCCCCTGTATTTTGAAGACCAGCAGAACTGTGTGTTTGAAGACCCGACCAGGTCACACACCATAAGCACGACAAGCAGGCACGCGAGTGGTCAGGTGTGATTAACTGCAGCTGTGCTCACCTCGGACTGGGTATGGGGGCCCAACCTATTCTTCCTGCCTGCACGTGAGAGACATTTCTTAAGCCTTCAAAAATCTGAGAAAATAAGTTTCATATTTTTAGTCTTTCTTCTGTTACTTATCTCCCTAACTCGATACCCTACTTTGACTGTAATTCAGAGTTTTTAACCTTCTGGGGAAATGAGGGCCCATGTGTTGTGCTTACACCGTTAGCTCCACACACCTTCCCACGATCTAGTCTGTCATTTCACCTGTGGTACAGCCTCACACACTACATACACAGCCTTCCAGCAACCAAAACAGACCATTCTGGCTTAGCATGGAACCAACTGAATAAAAAGTAACACGAAGTAATAACGGTCACATGTGCACAGAGGGCTCACCGAGGTATAACCTTTCACTGAACACTGGCAAATGTGATTAAAAAACAAAGCTCTGGGTAGTCACTATGGCTTCATTTTGACTTCTATTGGGATTTGTGAAAAAAAATTTTCTATCACATTTGATTCCTATCAGTCATGGGAAAATTAGTTATGTTTTAGAAGTTATTTATTGCCAATCACATTCAAAACCATGGATATAGAGTTGCACTGGCTGTTATGCACGTTTTCACAGGGGAACACTGCAGTCAGAGGAATAAAGACCGGATGGTTAGTACTTATTTTCTAGTAAGCTGCACACAAAACCTTCAGCAAAAAGACTGAAAACATGTATTTCAAATATTCCTGAACACGAGGCATTAAGTATATGAGTTTATATTCTTTTTTTTTTTTTTTTAAAGATTTTATTTATTTATTTGACAGACAGTGAGAGAGGGAACACAAGCGGGGGAGAGGGAGCAGCAGGCTTCCCACAGAGCAGGGAGCCCGATGTGCGGCTTGATCCCGGGACCCTGGGATCATGACCTGAGCCGAAGGCAGACGGTTAACTGACTGAGCCACCCGGCGCCCTCTTTCCTTTTTTTTTTTTTAATTTTATTTATTTATTTTAGAGAGAGTGTGTGTGGTGTGGGGGGAGGAGCAGAGGAAGAGGGACAAGCAGACTCCACGCTGAGGGCAGAGCCCAAGGCAGGGCTTGAGCTCATGACCCTGAGATCATGACCTGAGCCGAAATCAAGAGTCGGCGGTTTAACCAACTGAGCCACCCAGGCCCCCTTTCTTTTCTTTTTAAGTAGGCTCCATGCCCAGCATGGAGCCCAATGTGGGGCTTGAACTCATAACCCTGAGATCAAGACCTGAGCTGAGAGTAAGAGTTGGACACTTAACCAACTAAGCCACCCAGGTGCCCCTATTTTTTTTTAAAGATTTTGTTTATTTTATTATTTTTTTAAACAATTTTTAAAAAGATTCTATTCATTTATTTGACAGAGAGAGACACAGCGAGAGCAGGAACAGCAGCAAGGGGCGTGGGGGAGGGAGAAGCAGGCTTCCCGCCAAGCAGGGAGCCCAATGCGGGGCTCAATCCCAGGACCCTGGGATCATGACCTGAGCCAAAAGCAGATGCTTAACGACTGAGCCACCCAGGCGCCCCTATTTATTTATTTTAGAGAGAGAGAGAGAGCACACGCATGGGGGGAGGGGCAGAGGGAGAGGAGGGAGAATCCCAAGCAGAGCACGAAGCCCCATGTGGGGCTCGATCTCATGACACTGAGATCATGACCTGAGCCGAAACAGAGTCAGACACAAGTGACTGAACCACTCAGGCATCCCTATTTTATATTCTTTTAAAATGGCCTGTATACAACACAGAGATAGGCCATCATTTGTTTTAATATCAAGTATGTAAAAATGATGTATTACCAAGTTAGAATTCTGGATTTTCCAAACTATAAGACCATAAAAGCATGACTGGTTAAAAAATTACTTACTGCATGAAAAGACGAGGAAGCAATGATCTCTGGCGGGCTGGAAGAACAATGTCAAGGAAGGCTTTGTAAAAGAAATGATTCCCAAGAACTGGCTGTCCTAACATTTAACTGTGTAAAGAACAACAGTATCGGGACTGGTGGACAAAGTAAAGAAATGGAGGTGGTAAACAGTATTCTGACTCAGGAGAACTGTGTATACTTTGGTATAGAGCTTGATATTAGTCTGGTTTACACATTATCTTAATTGTTATTATTGACTTCTATGATATTTGCTTCATTTCCAGGTAATTTCTGAAACCATGGTACCAACTTGGACAAGTGGTTTAACCTGGAAACATTGTCTATTTGGTGTGGATGCATAACCCATTCAAGAAGATTCCTTGAAACACGGTAAGGCAAATGAATTTGCCCTGTTGACCCCCAGGACAAAAGATTACAGTTGAGGCAGAAGATGAAGTGCTAACACAGAGGAGAAAGGCTGATGAGAAAGTTTTTCTGGGTGATCAGGACATTCAGAAGTGCCCATGAGTGTGACATGACATCAGAATGATGGCAGACTATGAAGCTCCAGGCCCTGTTTCCTCACAGAAACATTACTGTGAACAAATACAGACTGACTAAAATGACTTTATGGGAACTCTGAAAATGAGCTGAAGAGCTACAGCAATCAAGAGAACACTCAATCAAGAAGCCACACTTGGGGTGTGGCTCAGTAGGTAGAGGATGAGACTTTTGATCTCGGAATTCTAAGTTTGAGCCCCACAATGGGTGTAGAGATTATGTAAAAATAAAATCTTGGAAAAAAAAAAAATAGTAGCCCCACTCAAAACAGCAGGAAATTTTGTGGCATGTCTGCTTGCCCTTGCACTACCCTCTCCCACGTGGTTGGGGTGAAACAGCCAATTCTCAGTTCCCTCCTTCAGGAGGGAAGGAAAAGGGTGAAATGTTCTACCCTGTCTGTGGCGGCCTGAAGGACTGGTTTCTGTATAATGCCTAACTTGGAGCTCAAGCAGGAATGGCAGTATGTTTTGGATCTCAGGTTGGAAGCCATGAAAGGCAATGGCAGGCACTGTGGCATGTGAAAACCATAGGGAAACTGCAGTCATGTGGATACCTGGGAGCAAGAAATTATGGGCAGAGGAATACTATACAGCATGTAAGGCTCCTAGGAAAAAAGCAGGTGTGAGACTCAGCAAAATTAAAATTGAATGTATACAGGGGAATGGGAAAAAAAAAAAAAAAAAAGCACAAATCCAAGGAATACAAATGCCCAGAAAAAGCCCAAGTAAAGATCCTGAGCCTTCATGCGGGGCTCATTAATGAAGCTCTTTCCACAAATACAGCCCGGCTGCAAAGACTGGGAGAGAGTTGTTTTCTCAAATGCCTAATTTTCAACAAAGAAAAAAAAAAACCCTACAAAATACACAAAGAAACTGGGAAACACACCCATTCAAAGGAAAAAAAAAATCTCTAGAAACCAACCATAAACACATGCTGAAAACATACTAGATAAAGACTTTAAAACAGTTGTCTTTTTTTTTTTTTTTTTTTAAAAGATTTTATTTATTTATTTGACAGAGAGAGACAGCGAGAGCAGGAACACAAGCAGGGGGAGTGGGAGAGGGAGAAGCAGGCTTCTCGCCGAGCAGGGAGCCCACTGTGGGGCTCCATCCCAGGACCCTGGGATCATGACCTGAGCTGATGGCAGACGCTTAACTGACTGAGCCACCCAGACAGCCCTAAAACAGTTGTCTTAAATGTGCTCAAGGAAAATATCAGCAAAGAACTAATGGAAATCAGGAAAATTATACATGAACAAGATGAGATTAACAAAGAGATAGAAATAAAAAAATCCAAACCAGATAGAAATTCTGAAGTTGAAAAATGTGAACTGAAAAATTCATTAGCTCAACAGCAGACTGATAGGTAGAAGAAAGGATCAGTGAAATTCATGGTAGGTCATTTGAAATTACTGAGTCTGCAGAGGAAAAAGAATGAAGCAAAATGAACAAGGTCTAAGTGACTTATAATACACCATTAAGTGGACCAATATATGCATTATGGGAGTCCCAGGAGGCTGGAAAGAAAAGAGCAGAGCTTATTTTAAGAATAGCCATGGGGTGACTAGGTGGCTCAGTCACTTAAGCGTCTGACTCTTGGTATCAACTCATGTCTTGATCTCAGGGTCACAAGTTCAAGTCCTGTTCTGGACTCCAAGCTGGGTGTGGAGACTACTTCAAAAAGGCGGGGCGCGCCTGGGTGGCTCAGTCGTAAGCGTCTGCCTTCGGTTCAGGTCATGATCCCAGGGTCCCGGGATCGAGCCCTGCATCGGGCTCCCTGCTCAGGGGAGACTGCTTCTCCCTCTCCACCTGCCTGCTGTGCTCTCTGTCAAATAAATAAAATCTTTAAAAATATATATTTAAAAAATTTTTTTAAAATAAAAAGAGAAAGAAATAGCCAAAAAATCTCCAAGTTTAAGGAAGACATGGATATACATATCCAAGAGGCCTAACAAACTCCATGTAGGATCAAAAGACCACACTGTGACATAACTTGTCAAAAACCAAAGAGAGGGGCGTCTGGATGACTCAGTCATTAAGCGTCTGCCTTCGGCTCAGGTCATAATCCCAGGGTCCTGGGATCGAGCCCCGCCATCGGGCTCCCTGCTCCGCGGGAAGCCTGCTTCTCCCTCTCCCACTCCCCCTGCTTGTGTTCCCTCTCTGGCTGTGTCTCTCTCTGTCAAATAAATAAAATCTTAAAAAAAAAAAAAAAAAAGCCAAAGAGCATCTACAAAGCAGGAAAAAAAAGTGACTTGTCATGTAAGGGATCCTCAGTAAGATTATCAGAGGATTTCTGGCAGAAATGGCATAGGCCAAAAGACACAAGGATGATGTATTTAAAGTTGTTAAAGTTAAAAGAAAAGAAAAAATAAAAGAGCCGATTGAGAATTCTATACCAGGCAACATTCTCCTTCAAAAATGAGGAAAAAATTAAGATGTTCCCAAATAAACAAAAGCTGAGGGAGTTCATTACTGCCTGATTTGCCTTATTAGAAATGCTTAAGGGAACGGAGTCCTTCAAGTTGAAATGAAAAGATGCTAGAAAGTAACTTGTCATACAAAAATATAAAGTTCTCTGGTAAAGGAAATACATGGACAAATATAAAAACCAGTAAAATTATGATTTTGGTTTGTAACTCTACTTATTCTCCTACAGAATTTAAAAGACAAAAGCGTACAAATAATTATAAATCTATATTAATGGGTACAAAATATATAAAGATGTAATTTATAACACCAATAATGGAGTGGGGTGCAGCTGTATAGCTTTTGTCTGCAATGGAGTGTATCAGTTTAAAACAGAGTATTATAACTTTAGCACATTATATATAATACCCACATAATCACAAAGAAATATGCATAAAATATATGCAAAAAGATATGACAAGGGAATCAAAATGTGTCACTGAAAAAATTCAACTAAACACAAAAGGCAGCAGTAAGGGAAGAAATGAGAACAAAAAAAGCCTTTTAAGATATACAGAAAACAAGCAACAAAATGGTAACAGTAAGTCCTTCCATATTAGTAACTACTGATAATAAATTTAGTAATTTACTGATATAAATGAAACTCTCCAATTAAAAGTCGTATACTGCCAGAATGGATAATAAATAAATAAAATCGTGGGGCGCCTAGGTGGCTCAGTCAGTTAACGTCGTGACCTAAAGGCAGATGTTTAACCGACTGAGTCACCCAGGCGCTCTAAAAATTTTTTTTAAATAGAAACTTAGGCAGATTTACTATACCTTATCTTTCTTTCCTTTTTTGGTCTTCTCAGGTGGTGGCATTTTAGGAGCTGGTGGTGGTGGTGGAGGAGGAGGAGGAGGAGGTGGTGGTGGTGGTTCAATAATGGCAGTGGTAGGCACAGCACCTCGGGCCTGGACTGGCTGCAATGTGGGAGCAGTCACTGCCATTGGGACAGAACATTCAGCATAGCTCATAATTGCAGGAGCTGAGGCCAGTCCTAGGTAATTTGACTGTAGGCTCATTCCTCTAGCTTGATGACCCATTCCTGTTGCTGGATGGCTAACCGATACTGCCTGGTGTCCAATCCCTGCAGACTGGTGTCCAATCCCTGCTGCCTGGTGACCTAACATGGAAAACATAAAGTGAAACTGTAAGAAGGACCTTGTGAGGGGCACCTGGGTGGCTCAGTCGTTAAGCGTCTGCCTTCGGCTCAGGTCATGACCCCAGGGTCCCGGGATCGAGCCCCGCATTGGGCTCCCTGCTCGGCGGGAAGCCTGCTTCTCCCTCTCCCATTCCCCCTGCTTGTGTTCCCTCTCTTGCTGTGTCTGTCAAATAAATAAAATCTTAAAAAAAAAAAAAAAAAAAAAGGACCTTATGACAAAGCAAAAACAAGGAAAAGACGGAAAAGAGACATGGGGGTTAGATCACTTACAAAATGTCAGTACACCTTTTCCTCAAAAAATACAGCCACGGGGCACCTGGGTGGCTCAGTCAGTTAAACGTCTGACTCAGGTCATGATCTTTGGATGGTGACACGGAACCCTGCACTGGGCTCCACGCTCAGCAGGGAGTCTGCCTGAGGATTTCTCTCACTCCCCACTCCACTCTAAACGAAATAAATAAATCTTGAAAAAATTATATAGGGGTGCCTGGGTGGCTCAGTCATTAGGCATCTGCCTTCGGCTCAGGTCATGATCTCAGGGTCCTGGGATCAAGCCCCACCATCCGGGTCCCTGCTCTGCGGGAAGCCTGCTTCTCCCTCTTCCACTCCGCCCTTCTTGTGTTCCCCCTCTCGCTGTGTCTCTGTCAAATAAATAAAATCTTAAAAAAATATATATATATATGTAGCCACAGGGGCACCTGGGTGGCTCAGTCAGTTAAGCATCCTTTGGCTGAGGTCATGATCCCAGGGTCCTAGGATGGAGTCCCACATTGGGTTCCCTGCTGATCGGGGTGTCTGCTTCTCCCTCTGCCCCTGCCCATCGCTTGTGCTCTCTCTCGTGTGCGCGGGCTCTCTCTTAAATAAAACCTTTAAATATAGATAGAAGATAAATAGATAGAGCCACATTTTCTGGTAGCAAAATGTTTCTGAATACTTTAGCAATAAGGTACTTTTTTTTTGTTTTCCTATTTCTTTAAAGTAAGCTCTACATTCAACATGGGGTTTAAACTCATGGTCCTGGAACCCACATGGGTGGCTCAGTTGATTAAGCATCTGCCTTCGGCTCAGGTCATGATTCCAAGGTCCTGGGATCGAGTCCCGCATCGGGCTCCCTGCTCAGCGGGGAGCCTGCTTCTCCATCTGCCTGCCGCTCCCCCTACTTGTGCTCTCTCTGACAAATAAATAAAATCTTAAATAAATAAACAAACTCATGATCCTGAGCTCAAGAGTTGTATGCTCTACTGACTAAGCTAGTCAGGCGCCCCAGCATTAAGGTACTTAAACATTAAAATTACTGAAATCATGTTAAGTGCACAGAAAACAATCTGGAAGAATACATAGTAGTTCTTAGTAACTGCAAGAAACATGTACTTCAAAATGAAAAGCCTCTGGGGTGCCTGGGTAGCTCAGTGGTTAAGTGTTGGACTCTTGATCTCAAGGTTGTCGAGTTGAAGAACCACACTGGGCTCCACACTGGGTGTGGCGCCTACTTAACAAAGTAATGAAAAGCCGTTACATGACATCTAAAAGCCTTTTATGACATCTAATCCTGAAAGCAAAGATAGAACACACTGAGGAAAACATCTCAATCACAACGTTTACCTGTAGCTAGAGCTGACTGGCTGTAGAGCACTGGAGAACTACCAATGGTAGCCGACCTCTGAACTATTGCAGTACTAATTTCTGTAGCTTTTCTTTTTATCGCTTTAGTGGAAGGAGAACTAGAGACGGTAGAATCAACCGAACTCTGAAACACAGAGAATCTAGTTAGTGGCTGAAAGCCCTGATTAAACGTCCTCTTCTAAAATAAAACATGGTGTCAAATCATGCCCCAGTCCCCAGAGTGTCTTCAAAAAGCCCCACAGTCTTTCTCACCTGGCTAGTTACAACCGTGGTTTGTGTCGAGGGTTTCAATGGAGTATCCTCCTCTGTTCCTGGGGCAGGAGGCTCCTCACTTCCCTCATCCTCCATCTCTACCTCCTGGATCTCACCATCTTCTACAGGAGGAGGGGGAGGGGGAGGGGGAGGAGGGGATTCTGGGGGTGGAGGTGGGGGTGGTGGCATTTCCAAAGGTAAAGGAGGTTGGAGCACAGGCACATTTGACTGAAGGAGGGTCCAGAATGGAGTAAGTGGCATGAGCGATGATGAAGAAACTTGGCCAGAAAAGGACTCTTTACAAAGAGAACCTATGAAAACAAACAGGAGTCAGAGAAAAGGCAAGGCAAAAACTCTGTGGCTTATATCCACAGCAATGTTCAAGTGACTAGTGAGACAAAATCTGACCCACAGGCATCTACTCTACATTGAGGTCACTGAAATATTAAGCAATTCAGTTAAAAAATGACTACCATGGAATGATGATTTTATGAACCTCACAGTTAGCACTCGCCCCAGCTATGTTATATACTAGTCTCGTTCTTTGGGTCCAGATTTATGGATGAATAAATGAAGCACACCACATCAACTCAATGAGAAATTTGGTCATTTGAACCTGAAGTTTTTTATTTCAAACATTCACAGTTTCAACACACACAAGTAGAAGGCAACACTCTGGGTCTTTTTTATTTCAAAAGAGAAGAGGGGAATGAATAATGTGCATCTGCAATACTGATTCCATGTTGTTTTATTTTTTAGTGAGCTAGATGACGGACTGGGGATGACCCAGAGAGTACTCATTCACACCTATTTCGAATTCTACCTATTTTAATTAATTTGAGTTACTACATTTTAAAAATCCATTTGCAAGGTGTTCTTGTCAACTCTATCATTCCTTTGCACCTTTGTATGAATTACATTTGCTAAATCACAGCAACACAAATCAGGAAGGTAATTTTTTTTTAATTTCTGTAATGAGAAAAGGGAAATTTAGAACAACAAATCCTCAAGGTAAATGATAATGAAGGCACACACAAAAGAGGTGTCTGAAGATGCAGAGGATGTGAACTGATGCTGGAGTCTGAGTTAAGAAATTATAGCTAAAAGGTTGCAGAATCAGTTTTCCTTAAATTCTGCAAAAGCCAGTTAGTTACTGTCCTTTCTCTCCTGGGAAAAGCTTTAAGGATTAGAGAAAATAGGAGCATATACTTACTTGTAGCCTTCCCCATCCCTCTTTATCGTCAATAGGGAAGTTTCACAATATATGGGACTATTAGATATATATCCCAGGAATGCTGAAGGGAATTTTCTCCCTAAAAATCATAGAATTTAGGAGTAGAAGAGACATGAGAAATCATCTAGTTCAACTCTCTCATTTCAAAGGTAATGAAACCCAGGAGGGAAATGACTTGCCCAAGATCATACAGCTCTCAGTGGCCAGGTTTGACTCCTAGTCTAGTGCTATTTTACCAAGAAGACCTGGTGAAATGCCAGGGGTCTAAGAGCTTTAGAAATTACAGGTGAATAAATCTCACTTCTCATGGAGTAGAGATCCAAATGCAATCACCTGTTAAATTTCATGGTCAAAAGTGGTAATCTGGGTTAAATAAGGGTGCTATTACAAAAGGCTCTCAACAATGATACAACCCTTTACCTTGGTTGCCTCAAGACACCACACTGGTTCTCACCAAGGTAAAACCAAAGCTACCATAAACCATTTGGCTTTTAGGACAGCTTTAGTTTTTATGGAGCAGATATATATTACTATAAAAGACTTTAAGATGATTCACATGGTTACTATAATTATTTTGAGAAGTTGCTTACTTAAAGGAAAAGAGCACTGAAAAAATATTCACCAGAAAACAAGAATGCAGTTTTCCAGCTAAAAGACTTCAACTGCCTCATTTAACTTTTATATTTGGTCATATCTAATATGAATTTACACACTTTTAGACGAATAAAGTCTGGGTATGACCAAGCAGTCTACTTTATCACATAATAATAGAACATCAAGATTACATCACAACTAAGGTAATAAATACCAAAATTAATAACTTCTCAAACTTTCTTCTAAACTTTCAACAACATTTGGTAGGTAAATTAGTAAGCTGAATTTTACATATTCTCATCTAGAAGCATAATGCAATAACAAATATGTTTATGATGATAATGTGCTGCTATGCAAAGCAACTCAAGGAAATATAGGTTCAAGATTAATAAAGTGGTTTACAACTTCCAACAGATAATCAGAATTCTAGCTAAACTGGACTTGATAAATTTAGCAGCAAACAAGGAGCATTTTTGGTTAATATCACAATTGCACACTAAGTTTGCTCAAAACACAAAAGCTGTGTCTTAATACTGATAATTATCTCCTTTAGCTTAAACACAAAGAACTTAAGAAATCTCTGAGTATCCAAGGATGTCCTATTACGTGATGCTTCTCTTTGTTTCTAAATATAACCCTGTTGGTGGTATTATTTTGCCACTTAAAGACAACATTTAAGTCTGAAGTCAAGGAGAGATTAAAGGTAAACACAGCTTTTATTACACGCTAATAAATCTGAAAACTACAGGCTTAGAACAGTGTGGGGACACAAATTTTGAGCTCTTCACGAACCTATTTTTTCTATGCATCTTTGTTTTTATTTGAAGGCAGGCTTCCTTTACTGTTTTCCTATATTCCTCCAAAGAGAAAACTTTTTTGAACCAAGAGGCCAATTTAGCAATTTAAAGCAGGAACTTATACAAAAAATAGTTTCACAGACTTTTGAAAAGCAGCTAAATTTAACCTAAGTGACAAAGCCTAATAAGACAGACATACTAGATATCTTCAAATATCACTTGTCTTTAGAGACATGATGTTAAATTCAAACAATGAACAAGGATTAAAAATGAACAGAACTTGGAAATTTCCCTGCTCTACACAATGTAGTAATTTTTCTTGAAAAGATGGTATTTACCACTGCTGAGATAAGAAACAGAATATATTAAATAAACTTTCTTTATAGGCTTAAAATAGTGATCAGAAATACTCTTAAATCCCAAAGACCTTAGTACAAGATTTGGGTTTTATTTAAATCAAGTTTTAGTGGCTCTCATTAAAGAGGCTTAAGAATATAAGCAGATTTATCAGTGGCTTTTTCCTACAGCATAATTAGTTTTGTTTTAATCAGACAGGAATGTCTCCAAGTCTTCCCTTTACCACACGGTATCCAACGATGTTTGTCATCAACAAACGGAAAAAATAACTTTAACTCTAAGGTGTTCACAGAACACTTAAAAGAGTTGGTATTTCTAGAATATTCAGCTCTGTAACATACAACGGACATTAGATAGTGGTCAGGTCAGGAGTGGAGCCTCCTTCCCAGAACCACCATCAAGCCTCTTCAGTTCACTAACTACTGAAAAGCAAACAAATGATAAAACCAACTTATGAGACATATTTATCATTACTACCAAAAGAATGAGGGGGAAAAAAAAAAAATCAAAAGAAAATCTCTTCCTGAAAATGTTAAGTAAAATACCCTATAACTTGAGAAAATGTATTTCTAAAATATAAAGTAGAAAAAAAACATCCTTTTGCTATGTGCAAAATTATCACTGCAGCCAAACGTGGCTTTTTATTCAGTGATTTGATAATTACCCCTACGCTATTTAAGAAATAAACAGAATCATTTGGTAACATGATCACTTTCATTTGGTACATTATCAAAACTTTTTGATTGGATCAGGGAGCCAAATGAATAAAGTATCATTTTTGATAAGCAGAGGACAAAAAAAATTCAGCTCTTCACTTCCTACATTACCAACAAATTCCGTGTCTTTATCTTCAAAGGTTTATTATTTTAAAAGCAAACCATAGGCTCTTGCTTCATCTATCATTTTAACAAATAGCTACCAGTTTTTTTAGATCAAAACGGTTGCTGATCATAGTCTTGACTATGTTTCACTATTCACTTATTTTTGTTATTTCAAGAATGGTGGATTTAGAGGGGGAAAAATGAATCTTCCATAATGTGGAAATCAAGCAATTTCTCTTTAGAGAAGCTCTCAGACTCTCAAGAGTAACTGAGGAGCTATGAAAGCCTTTTTTTAAATGTATACAACTAAAGACCTCTACGAAAACTTTAAATAGGCTGAGAGCCATCCTGATTGTTTTATACTAGAATATTGTTGGCAATTTCCACCCCATCAATTATTCTGCTTCTCTGAAATAATGATCATAGTTTCATACCATTTCTTCCGAACATTTTAATTTGTAGCAACCGTACGTCTTGAAGACGAGTGGAGTGAAAAATGAGGCTGCAATATCAACAAAGTTTTCTGTAGAAAGGCAGAACAAAATCTCCTATTATCACCCCACACAGATATTGACAATTCAGCTACTAGTTCCTTAACTTTAATTTGCATTCTTGTTAGTGGATACACAGCTTCGTCTGTAGCATAAAGAGTGGTTATAGGACAATCCTTTTGTTGTTGTTGTTGAGATCTAATTGGCTTTATTAAATGATGCATGAATCGGGAAGCAACCCATCTAACAAGTAGATGGGAGCACCTATGGGACACTCTTTTAAAATCAAAGTATAGGGCGCCTGGGTGGCTCAGTTGGTTAAGCGACTGCCTTCGGCTCAGGTCATGATCCTGGAGTCCCGGGATCGAGTCCTGCATCGGGCTCCCTGCTCAGCAGGGAGTCTGCTTCTCCCTCTGACCCTCCCCCCTCTCATGCTCTCTCTCTCTCATTCTCTCAAATAAATAAATAAAATCTTTAAAAAAAATAAAATAAAATCAAAGTATGTTGGCTCATCATTTCACGTTTTAGCAAAGTCTGATATTAATAGTATGCTGATTTCCAAGCAGTCACTGCCTTAGTCTTCTTCAGTATTAACTTGCAATTTTATGTCAAGCCACTATTTTTTAACTAGAAATTTATATTATGATTTGAATTATTTTTTTCTTTTAGGATATCAATTAATACAAGTCTTTTTTTCTCTAAAATTATTTCTCTCCAATTAGTACAGGGTAAATTGTCCCACCTGTGGAATTCTCAGAGGATTCTGCAGAATTTGAATCAGTCCCAGTTTTGTCTTTCAAGGTCTGTTTAGGAAGAGTCTCGTCTCTACTTTCTTGTGCTTGGCTTTCTTCCTCCTCCTCCTCACCATCTGGAAACTCCCACTGAGACTCGCCCGACTGTTCGTTTACATAGAAATATCGTCTATGATCCCTAAATTACAAGAAAGAAAACACAGGTTTTAAGACACATTCTCCTACAAAGACACTTCCATTTGGTCCTGTCCCAGGACAGCAGTCTGCTCTCACAGGGACGAACCTCTTCTTAATGGACTGCTATTCACAAAGGCAACAAAGAGCTTTGACAATTGAGGATGAAGAACCAAGGATAATTCAAAGCTATTTGCACTGCCAGCAACTCTGTGAATACAGCCCTGAGCCCTCTCATTCCAACAGATGACTTAGGAAACACCTCTCACACTTTTCTTTTTTTTTTTTTTGCCAATGCTTAACAGGGTTTCAAGTTTCATTAACGAAGGGACTCAATCTCCTAGAACACTAATTTCCCTTCCAAAGAAGAGAACAACGAAGTTTGCGAAAGGTGACTCTTCCCCTCTTGGACCGTGGAATTCACATTTCATACTCTTGATATCAAACACAGTGAAAGCTAAAGAGAGGGAGAGGTTCTGGGAGCTGAAAAATAAAAGAGCAAAGATTTCAAATAACGAAAAAAAAAAATCAAGAAAAGCCAAATATAAAAAGAAATGTTTTCATCTGACCTGCTGGCAGAAGATAGTAATCTTGTTCTTCATTCACATCTTCAGGTACGAAGCTTTCCTTAACTTCACCGAGGTTAATCAGGAGTAGTTGCTTCCAGAGGTCCTGTAAAGCGCACAGAGCTCTCGCATGCGCTTAACCCCCAAGCCCGCCCTACTCCGTGCAACAACACTCTGGAGAGTAAAAACCAGCTTTGTCCATCTTGGGAAAAAATCCGTTACATGGAACACTTTAAACATTGCTTTTTGTTTCTCCGTGTGGCTGGCCCAAACTCTGTAAGTGCTTGCGGTGCTTTGCCTGCCCAGCACCGCTAACCGCAGCTGCTCTCAGTCTCCAGACAGGCTGTCATGTCGTCAGGTGGTGGTGATCACAAATCATGTCTGAGATGTCAAAGGTGAAAGGTGAAAAGGGGAGAAGAGTGCGTACCTGTCCCAGTGGCAGGACCAGCCTTTAGGAGTGGCGTTTATTTCATACTGTTTTAGTTGTTCTGCTGCATCCTGAAGCTTTCGTTTAAGGTAGTTTCCATTAAGAGCCCCTTCCCTCCAGTCTGCAATCCGAGTCTAGAATCAAGAAATGGAGAAATAAGTTAAAGATTTCTTGTTATGTCAGGAGGCAGAAATAAAAGAAAAATGTCTTCTGGTCCATACTGTATTACTCTATCAATTACTGTATTCTCACAAAAAGAGAGAAGACCCTCCCCAAAAAAAGAAAGAAAAAAGAAATCCCATCTTAATTTCATAAAAATTCTTGTTTGCTCTGCAGAGTTCTGAAAAACTACACTGGACTCCAGTACTTTCTACACTGCCAACTCTCCAGTATCTGTGAAAATGAGTCGCAGTTTTGTTTTCCCTTTTGGACTATATTAATTCCCTAGCAATTTTACCTTTGCTTGGTAGATAGTTCATTCAATTCAGTAATGTTCTTCATCAAAAACAAAGGTTCAGTCCTTAGGGAAGTCAGTTTCCTACAGGAGGTTCCTTAATTGTAACCTGCCATGCTGTAAACTATACAGGTTACAAATAGGACTCAGAACTTTTTTTTTTTTAAACATTTTATTCATTTACTTGGGGGTGAGGGGAGAGAGCACTAGCAGGGAGAGGTGCAGAGGAAGAAGCAGACTTCCCGCCGAACAGGGAGCCCAATGCAGGACTCGATCCCAGAACCCCGAGATCACAGAGCCAAAGGCAGATGCCCAACCAACTAAGCCACCCAGGTGCCCTCAGAACTTTTCTTCTTAAATAGATTTATAATCCTGTAGCACTTATAAAGTCTTTCAACATTACATGGCCTCATCTGATCACTATCAATAGAATTTTGTTAGAAAACAGGTCTACATTAAAATATATGCCCATTCACAGCCCATGGGGCATGTGACTCTTGTTCGCAGGGCCTTGTGTTCGAGCTCCACGTTGGGCATAGAGCTTACATTTAAAAGAAAAGATTTTTCTTTCTTTCTTCCTCTCTCTCTCTCTCTTTGAGGGAGAGGAGGAGAGAGAGAACAAGTGGAAGAAGGGAGAGGGACAAGTAGACTTGATGCTGAACGCTGAGCCTGATGTGGGTCTCAATCTCACCACCCTGAGGTTCATGACCTGAGCTGAAATCAAGAGTTGGATGCTTAACTGACTGAGCCACCCAGGTGTCCTCTCCAAATTTTTTTTTTAATAAAATATATGCCCACTGAAGGTGGTATCAACACACACAGAATCTCAGTATTTATCTTCATAATTGATATATTGTTTTAGCTAATACAGTTTTATTTCCTGGGCTGGTGGTTCAAATATGCACCAATGTTAAAAATTTAAATTTAGGATTAAAACAAGTAAGACAGGGCGCCTGGGTGGCTCAGTCGGCTATGTGTCTCCCTTCGGCTCAGGTCGTGATCCCAGGGTCCTAGAATCGAGTCCCGGATCGGGCTCCCTGCTCAACAGGGAGTCTGCTTCTCCCTCTGCCCCTCCCCCCTGCTCGTGATCTCTCACTCTCTCTCTCTAATAAGTAAAATCTTTAAAAAAATAAAACTAATACATGTGAAACTAAAGGACCAATACTAACATAGCCTCAAAAAATAAATAAATAGAACAAGTAAAACAAATGCCTCACACATACAGCACTTTACTCAAAAACCAACTATACCAAAAATGGCTAAATTACCTCAGTCTGTAGGAGCAGCACATGAAAGTTGGAGATGGACTGTCTATTAATGCCTAGGAATTCAAATTTACTTGTCAGGGTATTTGCCAGTTCTCCAATCTGAAACTGTAATGCAAGAAAGAAAAAAAAGGAAGAAATAAAATTGAATCAGCAATATTTTCTGTATTATGTAAAATCTTTCATTTATTGTTAAATATGCTAAAAAAAAAAATGGGTCTGCCTAGAAACAGCCCATTTGAGAACAGCTGCATCTAAAGAGTTATGTGGAGAAGACAAGATTCTAAGTAAACTAATTCACATAACAGGTGATAAATAATGACAAGTCTAGAGAAATTAAATGCATATGTACTCTGAGACAACACAGGATTCAACAGGTATAAATAGATGTTAAATGATACAACTCCCAATAGTGTCCAAACTATCATTTATGCATTACTAATTGCTTTTACTACCTACACACTGAACAAAATTAATTCTCCCAGTCCCTTTCACATGGTTGTAAACTAGTCAGTGACTGAGTCAACTCTTTCAGGTCAAAAAAATGTGCTAAATAGTTTTTCCAATAGACCATCCTTAAAGAGCCTCATACTTACGTGGTCCAATTCTTAAAATATTAGGCTTGAAATAAAACTGGAACCAAATTTACTTTTGTGTAAGGACAAGTAGTTCACACAGGAATTAAATTTTTGACTTTTAGGCTCTTCAGTACTTCCAAACTAGAGAAGCCTACATTTGATAAGCTGTTACTGCTTTCCAATGAGGGCTTAACTTTTAAGAAAGCAATTAAAGCATTTAGAATTCTAGGTAATTTCTCTGAAACGAGTCTCTTATAATTCAATGTTTCAGCCCGAAATATGGCCTTTTCACCTAACTCTACATAAATGATTTGTATATGGAGATAAGTAAAGATCACTGTACTTGCTAATAAAAAATGTACTTTAATGGTTGCCCCCTTTAAAGCTGTATTAAAAAATATACATACTTTCAAATCCTGTTCTTCTTCTTTAGGTGCTGTTTGTACTTTTATCTTCTCTGGAGATTCTTCTACTTCCATCTCTTTGTCTGAATTCTCATCTATTTTTTCTGAAGTGTCAGCACCAATTACTACAAAAGAAACCACGTGAAACTAAAGGACCAATACTAACATAGCATCCCCATATATATTTTCTTACCCTTATAGCAGAGATATCTGAAAAAAGTTATTTCTTTTCCCTTTGCCTGTTTTCCTTATTAAAGAAGCCATAAAGACTTACCTACCTACTGTTTTTATAAAGCCAAAAAACTTTATCCTTTATAATCACCTTTCTTAAAATGTCTATAAATAACAATTTGTTTTACATTACCCTGTAGTCTCTGCTTTCCCTTTCTCCTTCACCTGTTTATTTTATTTTTTCTAATCTTCTATTCCAGAATACCACTGCTTTAATTACTTTTAAAGGCTACATATCAGGGGGTACCAATGGCTCAAATGGTTAAGAGTCTGCCTTCTGCTCAGGTCCTGATCCCAGGGTCCTGGGATCGAGTCCCGCATCTGGCTCCTGGCTCGGCGGGGAGCCTGCTTCTTCCTCTCCCTGTCTCTCTCTCTGCTCATGCTCTCTCTGAAGCTCTGTGTCTCAAATGAATAAATAAAATCTTAAAAAATAAAAAATAAAGGCTACATATCGGGCGCCTGGGTGGCTCAGTTGGTTGACCGACTACCTTCGGCTCAGGTCATGATCCTGGAGTCCCAGGATCGAGTCCCACATCAGGCTCCCTGTTCAGCGGAGAGTCTGCTTCTCCCTCTCACCCTCCCCCCATCATGCTCTCTCTCTCTCTCTCTCTTTCTCAAATAAATAAAATCTTAAAAAAAAAAAAGCTACATATCAAAACTAGGATATATAAGGGTTCTTTATGAACTGGGTTTTGAAAAAAACGGCTTTCAAAATCAGAGGAACATTAATTTTAAACTAACTGATAACTTTATTTCTAAACTGGTTAAGACCTGCAGACAATCTTTAGTGGACCCACCTACTCTTCCTGGTTGGTGATGTCTGTTAGTGGGAATCTTCAAAAGAGAAGAGGCTTACCATCAACTTAAATGGAGTATAGATATGAACTCTATTATATCTGCTTACCACCTGCTTACCAAACCAATCCACATATACAATGTAAATCATTCTGTTATGAGGTTATCAGTCATTTTTTAACAAAATAACCAAATTTTAGTTTTTTCTTGACTCTTGTTAATCCTTGATCTAAAGAAGTAATGTGACTTTTTAATATCACTTTCAATAGATTTTATTAGCCTAAAAGTTTACCTTAAGTACTTAACCTCAATATATAATGGCCTTGCTCTTTATCATTAATATTCCTTCTGCATTTTCAAATTGAAACCAACTTCTCTCTCACTTGTTTATAATTAATCGGTATATTAGGATATAGTTAGATAAAGGACATCTGACATTTGGTGCTAGGTACAAGAATTTAACAATTTGGGGCGCCTGGGTGGCTCAGACGGTTAAGCGTCTGCCTTTGGCTCAGGTCATGATCCCGGGGTCCTGGGATCGAGCCCCGCATCGGGCTCCCTGCTCCTTGGGAGCCTGCTTCTCCCTCTGCTTCTCTCTCTCTCTCATGAATAAATAAATAAAATCTTAAAAAAAAAAAAAAAAAGAATTTAACAATTTATAGCACCACTAGAGCTCTAAGACTAGAATATATATATATTTTAAAGATTTTATTTGAGAAAGAGAGAGCATGAGCAGGTGGAGGGGCAGAGGTAGAGGGAGAAGCAGACTCCCCACTGAGCAGGGAGCCCGATGCGGGGCTTGATCCCAGGGCCCCGAAATCACGACCTGATCCGAAGTCAGGTGACCAACCAACAACCACCCAGACACCCCTAAGACTAGATGTTTAGTGTTCAATTGCAAGAATACATTAGAATTGGGGCACCTGGGTGGCTCAGTTGGTTGGGCATCTGTCTTTGGCTCGGGGGTTAAACACCATTGGGGTAGAGATTATTATGTCTGGTGTAGATGTGAAAGCAGAGGCACTGTGAATTTCAGAAGTGCCAGTGATAGTCCTCCAAAATGCTGGGTTGTAGTTACTTGAGTGCTTACTTCATTCTTTATATTTGTTATGTTACTTAACAATAAAAACAATAAACATCCCGGTATATATATATCTTTATGTAGATTTTAATGTCGTTATAGTATAGATTCTTAGAGATATATTGCTAGGTCAAGGGGTATGTACATTTTATTTTTTTTACTATTATTTTTTAAATTTATTTTGGGGGGTATGTATTTTAATTTGATAGATCCTAATTGCCCTCTAAAATATTCTAGTCTTGGGGCGCTTGGGTGGCTCAGGTCAGGATCCCAGAGTCCTGGGATCGAGCTCCACATCAGGCTCCCTGCTGGATGGGAGGCCTGCTTCTCCCTCTCCCACTCCCCCTGCTTGTGTTCCCTCTCTCGCTGTGTCTCTCTCTGTCAAATAAATAAATAATAAAAATCTTTAAAAAAAAAAAAAAAAAAGAGAGAGAAAATAGACTTCAGGGGTAGGGAATGAGAATAGGGAAAAGACGAAGGGGGACTTTTAAGATTTCTACTTCATATTCTTCTATATTGTTGATTGAAAAGAAAAAAATTCAAACAAGGATGTTATATTTACTTATTTCTGTGTTTTTTATTTGTTGTTTTTTAACCATAGCTATAAAGGTATCTTCTGTTAGGTATGCACAACTAAGGTTTGGTGCTCAAATCTTATTGCTAATTTTCCACTACAGAATTAGGGACAAATGGAGATTAAGGTATTAGTTCTTTTTTTTAAAAAAAGATTTCATTTATGGGCGCCTGGGTGGTTCAGTCGGTTAAGCGACTGCCTTCGGCTCAGGTCATGATCCTGGAGTCCCGAGATCGAGTCCCGCATCGGGCTCCCTGCTCTGCGGGAAGCCTGCTTCTCCCTCTCCCACTCCCCCTGCTTGTGTTCCCTCTCTCCCTGTGTCTCTGTCAAATAAATAAAATCTTTAAAAAAAAAAAAAAGATTTCATTTATTTGAGAGAGAAAGTACAACCCGGAGAGAGGCAGAAGCAGACTCCCCGCTGAGCAAGGAGCCCCATTTGGGGCTTGATCCCAGCACCCTGGGATCATGATCTCAGCAGAAGGCAGATGCTACCCAACTGAGCCACCCAGGCATCCCAAGATACTAGTTCTGATAATAGACTGGAAAGATGCAGCAGGGTCTCTCTCTTCTACATTACCCTGAACAGAGATAAGTTGGGTCCTTATGAAAGGACCTATCCATCTGAACAATTAACCAGAGGCTGGGCAACTTGTACACAAAGAGAGAGGAGAGATAAGGCTGGGCTTGCCAGAGGTGGTCCTTGCCTGCCTTGCTTACCAATTGTAAACAATGAGCTCAGGAGAGCCCGTGGGCTTAATACAGATCAAGACTACTGTAGCAGGATTTTTTAAAAAAGAGGAGTCAATCTTGCTTTTCTGTTTTTGAGGAAGAGGTAGTCCCCAATCAGTAGTGAATCTACAACCCAACTGATGGCAAATCTTAACTCTTACTCCTCCACTAGAGGTGAAGTAGGAAAAGGAGAGAAGTGAAAGGAAGCTTCCTTTCCAGCACTTCCATAAAAGGTTAAGTGTTATCTCCTCCTTTTTGCTTAAGAGGGAACCAAAAAAGGGAAAGGATTTCTACTCTATATCTTTCAACCCTGAAAGTTTAAAGTAAAACACGAATTACCAGTTTCTCCATTTTCTGGAGTCTCCCGTCCAGTTTTGCTAGAACTCCGACTGGTAGATTCTGGACTTGTAGCTCGAACGAACATCTTCCATTTCCCCCTTTTAGACATAAGTCTACGCATTCCATCCTGAGACGCTGGCTGGCTGATGTCAGAACATGGACTAGACCCTGACACACTACCATCTCCTTCCTCCAAGGCTCGTAACTCTGCCTAGGATGAACACGACAAAAAAGTTAGTGTGTCAGTAGCTGTTTATCAACATTTAAGCATTTGTGAATACCAAGAGTGATAACCACATATTATGAGAATTAAAAACCTTTCAGGACAGGAAGTTTTTCTTAATACATTTCCCCATCAGAGCCAAGCATTTTGCTTGTATTTTTTTTATCAGTATCCAGTAAATGCTTATTCATGATTGTAGTTAACAAATACTGATTTGAAGGGGATGGGTCTTAGAGATCCACTAAGAGACAAATTTTCCAATATATGAACACTGTAGATAAAGCCTAAATTAGCTTGTCCCTCTCCATAGCTTCAAATTTTGCAAAATGGGGAAAGCTTCAAGAAGATACTGCTGTTATTTATAACACCCATTAAGATTTTGTTTCATATTCAAAGTAGCAGTAGGTGAAACTGTTCCAAGAAAAATCAGGGCAGAAAACAGGTAAAAATCAATTTCTCGATCAGGAAAGTTTCCTGTGGACCATCTTTTTTGAAAGGAAAGCACATGACATTATTAGTTCCTCTTAATCTTACAAGGCCCATTTAACTATGTGATCAATCCCACAGGTGCTCAGTGGAAGTCAACCCGTACTTTAACTGTTGGGTTAAAAACCAAGTTATCGCCAAGAATTTACAATGCTCATTTGTTAAGAAGCTAAATAAAAGTTATTCACTGTATTCAGCTATCTTTAAATCAGAGCAGTATCAGTCCTTATTAGTTGTCAACTATCAAAAGCACCATCAGGAACCAAAAGAACTCCACAGTTCAAGTTTTTACTGCATAAGCTTAAACATATCTAGACAAGATTAAGAAAAACAAAATCCCATTAATGGCAGTTAACTGAGCACAATGATCCCAGAGTCTAATAGTATGCAAGAGAGGAAAAGCATATAACAAAAGCTTCAAAACCTTACTTTTTTTCTTTCCAAAACAAGCTCCAGCTCAAGGGTATCTTGTTCCTCTTCTTCTTCACTTTCTCCAGATTGAACAACACTGCAAAGATCCTCCTGAGAAGGGTCTTCCATGTTGTCCAATGTAATTTCCTGTGGTTTTACTATAGTTGCTGCTTCTTCTGCTGTTGTACTTGTTTCTTTCACTTCTGAAACTGGCTCTGCTTCTTTACAAATTACTTTTCTTCTCCATCTCTCTTCTTCCTCTTTTATTCCCTCAGGCAACAAAGGAGCAAGCAGTGATGCTGCCACCCCTTTCTTCTCCTCCTCACTATTTGAGAGAGCCTGAATTCCTTCATTTACTTCCTATAAAGAATAAATTAGTCTCATTTATCTAAAAAAAAAAAAAAGACCAAAAAAAACCAAACCCTCACCTGAATATATATTCAATTTGTTCATGCCAAAAAGGACTATATTTTTCAATCACTGGATAATCTTTTTTTAAAAGATTTTATTTATTTGAGAGAGAGAGTGAGACAGAGCATGAGCAGGGGGGAAAGGTAGATGGAGAGGGAGAAGCGGACTCCCTGCTGAGCAGGGAGCCCGATGCGGGACTCAATCCCAGAACCCTGGGATCGTGACCTGAGCCAAAGGCAGATGCTTAACCAAATGAGCCACCCAGGCACCCCCAATCACTGGATATTCTCAAAAACCACTGACTACCAACAGATTAGTACATATGGTTGTACCATTTTTCTTACATGAACATAATGCAAACATTGTTACTTTAGGAAAGCAGCGTTTGAACTAGAATCTAGTTCTGGGTGGAATTCATACATATCCTCCCCGCTATTCTCCAAGTCTAAAGGCACGTTAGCAGAAGCAGAATTTGAAAATTAAGTAAGATCAGAGTTTTGTCAACTCAACATATGACTGAATAAATCTCCACTCTTCTGCAGTATGCTAGAAAAGTGATTTAGAGGAAAGTGAAATAATTCTAAAATGAAATGTGTGATTAAACTTAAAGTGCTTCTTTTTTTTTTTTTTTTTTAAGATTTTATTTATTCATTTGAGGCAGAGAGAGAGAGAGAGAGAGAGAGCATGAGCAGGGGGAGAGGCAGAGGGAGAAGCAGGCTCCCTGCTGAGCCAGGAGCCCGATGTGGGGCTCGATCCCAGGACCCCAGGATCATGACCTGAGCCGAAGGCAGACAATTAACCATCTGAGCCACCCAGGTGCCCCCTTAAAGTGCTTCTTTACAAATTACTTTTGTAAAGTTATTGGGGTAAGAGCTGCTCTACTTCCTTCCTAGAGTTATAAAGACCAAATGATTCTGTAAGTGTGTGTGTGTGTGTGTGTGTGTATTTTTAAGTAGGCTCCACACCCAACGTGGAGCTTGAACCCACAACCCTGGGATCAGGAGTTGCATGCTCCACCTACTGACTTCAGTCAGTCAAGCGCCTCCTGAAAGTACGTTTTACTATACACTCCCCATTTAAACCATCACTTAAAACTCAGGATAAATTAAAATTCAACACACACACTATAGAATACAACTTACTTTGTCTTACTGATGAGACTATAGAAATGCTCATTTTACTAATAATAGTTTTTAATTTTTAAGGTAGTTTATCTTTTTCCAAAAAAAAAAACTTATGTGGGGGTCCCAAAATAGAGCTATTCTGAAGTGGAGAAGATCTGAAGCCCTGCCTGCTGCTCCCACATCCTTCACAATGACCCTCTGTGGCATTCGAAAGTTCCAAAAGAACCACTGAACTGGATAACTATTATAAATGCTACGTATTAAACATAAACATTAAATTAAATAAAGCTTTCAGAATCAGAGTTTATCCTATTTCACATCTGGTTTTAAGACAGCAACAGAAGGCATCTACATCTGTGCCAGAGTAACAGTCAAGTTCTTTAGATCTGAAATAAGCAAATGAGAGAAGTTGTAAAACTGACCTTTTTAACTTCTCGCTTGGCTATGACTGGTCCACTTTTACTACTGGAAACAGAAATGTTTTTCTCCTTAGTATACACGTCTGTATTAACCACAAAATTACCTTCAGCACCTGTTACAGAACTAAAAACAAAACAAAACAAAATCTATATATACATACACACACACACATATATACTTAGCAAGAGAAACAGAAGGCAAATATTAAAAACAAAGATAAGACTCTAACTTCCTTCTTAGGTAATTTCTTTTTCAAGTCTATTCTTACCTGGGCTGATAATGTTGTAATCCCTGTACCTGGGTGGCAAGATACTGAGGTAACTCCCAAGTCACTTCATTTGTTTGTGTGTTCCAATAATAATAGCATCCTGTGTTCTCATCCCAGACTTCTTGCCAATCTCCCATCTCAATTCCAACTAGAAGAAAATATAACAAATTTTAAAACACAAAATACTCATCAACAAAACTAAAAACAACCTACTGAATGGGGGGAGATGTTTGCAGATGACGTATTTGATAAAGGGTTAGTACCCAAAATATATATTAAAAAAAACTTCTACAACTCAACACCCCAAAACCAAATAATCCAATTATAAATGGGCAGAAGACATGAGCAGACATTTCTCCAAAGATGACATACAGATGGCCGACACATAAAAAGATGCTCAACATCACTCATCATCAGGGAAATGCAAATCAAAACTACAACAAGATATTACCCCACACATGTCAGAATGGCTAAAATAAAAAACACAAGAAACAGGTGCTGGTGAGGATGTGGAGAAAAAAGAATCCTCTTACACTGTTGGTGGGAATGCAAACTGGTGTAGCCACTGTGGAAAACAGTATGGAGGTTCCTCCAAAAATTAAAAATAGAACTACACTATGATTTAGTAATCCCACTACTGGGTATTTATCCAAAGCATACAAAAACACTAATTTGAAAGGATAATATGCACCCCTATGTTTATAGCAGCATTATTTATAATAGCCAAATTATGGAAACAGCCCAAGTATCCATCAACAGATAAAGAAGATGGTATATATACACTATGGAATATTACTCAGCCATAAAAAAGAAGGAAATCTTGCCATTTCCAACAACAGACAGAGTTAGAGAGTATAATGCTGAGCAAGTAAGTCAGAGAAAGACAAACACCGTATGATTTTACTCATGTGGAATGTAAGAAACAAAACAAATGAGCAAAGGGAAAAAAAAGAGAGAGAGACAAACCAAGAAACAGACTCTTAACTACAGAGAACAAACTGATGGTTACCAGAGAGGAGGTGGGGGTGGGGATAGGTGAAATAGGTAATGGGGATTAAGGAATGCACTTATCATGATGGGCACAGAGTGATGGATAGAATTGTTAAATCACTATATTGTACACCTGAAACTAATATAACACTGTATGTTAGCTATACTAGAATTAAAAACTTAAAAAAAAGAAAAAAAGCACTAATTTCTCCACAATTCTGACCTCATATCCCAAGTCAGCTCTAAAGCCATTAATAATCTAACAAGGTTCCTCAACCTTAGCACCGTTAACATTTGGTCTAGATAATTCTTTGATATAGTGGGGGCAGTCCTATGTAGTGTTCAGCATCCCAGATTTTACCCACTAGATGCACTAACAATTTCCCACCCCCTGTTTTGACAACCAAAAACATCTTCAGACACTGTCAAATGTCTCCTGGGGGTCCAACTCCTCCTCCTCAAATCCTCTTTGCACCATGGCTTAAAAAAGTAGTTTGACAGTCCAAAAATGTATCTTGAAGCCCAAAAGAATTTTTAAAATAATGGCTTTTATTATTCACTTGGCATAAACTGCAACCCGTTAAAAGGGCAATTTTATTTTTTGCAATTATTTTCAAAAGATACAATTATTATCCTAGTAATTCTCAGAGAAAACAGTCCTCCTTATCATCTTCTAAACAGTGTACTTAAAAGGTCAGAATCCTAAAGTCTGGGGCTAAAGGATAGGGGTTTTCATCTTTGGGAATGTCAACGCCTAGAACACCTTTAAAGATTGCACTTTAGATTTCTTTAAAAATCAAAGGATCAGACTTACCTCCTGCAAGTGAACACTGAGTATCATACTGCCACCCTGTAGTCTGAGTTGAGTCTGTTCCATTTGAAGTAGCAGAAGAAAGGGCAGATGTTGCTGATTCCTTTGGCTCTGGTCGAGGTGGAGTTGGAGGTGGAGCAGAAGCTCCTACAGGAGCTGCAGGCTGAGGAGCTGTTATAGCATCAATCTCCTTTAGAATGAAAACATTAACAAATTCTTTAATAATCTCAAAACCAGAAAACTGAAGAAATGACAATCACCATAAAAAAAATTCTAGGAGCACTGGGGTGGCTAAGTTGTTAAGTGTCTGCATTTGGCTCAGGTCATGATCCCAGGGTCCTGGGATTGAGCCCCACATCGAGCCCCACATCAGGCTCCCTGCTCAGTGGGGAGCCTGCTTGTCCCTCTGCCTGCCCTTCCCCCTGCTTGTGCGCACGTGCTCTGTCAAATAAAATCTTAAAAAACAAAAAAACTCTACAATCAGTTCTCAGCTTCTCCAATCAAAACTCTCACCTTCCAATTACATAAAAGTTCCCCAAGCCCTTTAATTCTCCATTTTCCTCCTCCTTACAACCTTTACAAAAAGAGAAGAGAGCGGTGGGGAGGGACTAAAGAAGAGAGATGGAAGGGGCAAAGAAGGGAGATGGGGAAACAGAGACTGATAAAAAAAGTAGGCCAACCACTTGAGATCCAGGTCCCAAAGTGGCTTCAATAACTAAAAACCCAAACAAAAGCACCACTAACCGCTAGGAAGTTGGCCAGTGTACTATCAATATCAGCTGACTGGTTTCCATTTGCCTCTTTAGACTGTGCTGGTTTTTCTGAAACATCACTCTCATCATCATCACTGTCAGCATATGCACCAAGCAAGCACAGACCTCCTAGAAACAAAATGGTAAACAATGTTAATAACAACAATGCCAGTATGCCCCAGGAAGTACTCAAGAAAAAATGACATGGTTCTTCAGAGTTTACATTTACTTTTACAGATTGGAACATAACCTCAAAATAAATCATCACTGAACTACCACAGAGAAGTATAAATTACATTATGCACTTAGAGCTAATAAAATCATTCACATAGTTGCTTGAGAGCCTTCTCAAAATACACAATCATTCAACCTCATACTCTGTCAAAACAGCACATGGTAAATCTTGATGTTAGAATTTGTTGCTTTGTGTCCATCTCAAACAAGCAAGCCAATTAGGATTTAGTAGATGAAACAAAGAAATTTTTAAAATTAAAAATCTTGGGCGCCTGGGTGGCTCAGTTGGTTAAGCGACTGCCTTCGGCTCAGGTCATGATCCTGGAGTCCCGGGATCGAGTCCCACATCGGGCTCCCTGCTCAGCAGGGAGCCTGCTTCTCCCTCTGACCCTCCCCCCTCTCATGTGCTCTGTCTCTCTCATTCTCTCTGTCTCAAATAAATAAATAAGATCTTTAAAAAAATAAAAAAATTAAAAAAAAATAAAATTAAAAATCTTTTTGGGGTGCCTGAGTGGCTCAGTCGTTAAGCGTCTGCCTTCGGCTCAGGTCATGATCCCAGGGTCCTGGGATAGAGCCCCACATTGGGCTCCCTGCTCCGCGGGAAGCCTGCTTCTCCCTCTCCCACTCCCCCTGCTTGTGTTCCCTCTTTCACTGTGTCTCTCTCTGTCAAATAAATAAAATAAATCTTAAAAAAAGAAAATGATCTGGTTACATATACCAAGACCCACAAAACTCTTCAAGTTTCTTTCAGCTAGATAATCCCATCTTTGAGAATATACCCCTCAAAATAATTCAAAAATTTTTTTCACACAGGGCGCCTGGGTGGCTCCGTCGTTAAGCGTCTGCCTTCAGCTCAGGTCATGATCCCAGGGTCCTGGGATCGAGCCCCGCATCAGGTTCCCTGCTCCACAGGAAGCCTGCTTCTCCCTCTCCCACTCCCCACTGCTTGTGTTCCCTCTCTCACTGTCTCTCTCTGTCAAATAAATAAAATAAAATAAAATAAAATAAAATAAAATAAAATAAAATAAAATAAAATAAAATAAAATATCATAGTAGTCTATTAATCTAATTTCAGAGGCTACTCTGAATTTTTCCTTAGAGAATTTCACATGCCTATTACCATAATATTCTTCTGCATAAAAGTATTAGATATGCGGGGCGCCTGGGTGGCTCAGTCGTTAAGCATCTGCCTTCGGCTCAGGTCATGATCCCAGGGTCCTGGGATCGAGCCCCGCATCGGGGTATTAGAGGTATTAGATATGCTTGCTCTACTATATTATAAAAACATATTTTAGGGCGCCTGGGTGGCTCAGTCGGTTGGGCATCTGCCTTCGGCTCAGGTCATGATCCCGGGATCCTGGGATCGAGCCCTGCATCGGGCTCCCTGCTCCGCGGGAAGCCTGCTTCTCCCTCTCCCACCTGCTTCTCCCTCTCCCACTCCCCCTGCTTGTGTTCCCTCTCTCGCTGTGTCTCTCTGTCAAATAAATAATAAAAAAATAAAATCTTTAAAAAAAAACAACAACATATTTTAACAATTTTTTTTTTTTTAAGATTTTATTTATTCATTTGACAGAGAGAGAGAGAGAGAGAGCGAGAGCAGGAACACAAGCGAGGGAGTGGGAGAGGGAGAAGCAGGCTTCCCACAGAGCAGGGAGCCCGACGCGGGGCTGGATCCCAGGACCCTGGGATCATGACCCGAGCAGAAGGCAGAAGCTTAATGACTGAGCCACCCAGGCACCCCATTAACAACTTTTTTTTGAAGTGGCAAATGGGAGGAGAGAAGAACAAGCATCTATTATTTCAGGGGTATTCATACAGTATAGAGAGAATTCCAAACTGAAAAGAATAAAATTATTATCAGTTATATTTAGTACAAAACATATTTTGATCTTTCAAGATTATATAAAGAATAAAAAAAAACTAACATTCTTGGCACTTCCTGCATATCCAAATATTCCTTAATGCTTAAAAAATATTTAATAAGAGCAATTTTCAGCTCCACAAATATTCGCTAAGTACCAATCAAAGCACTGTGCTGGAAAAGAAATGCACAGAATGAAAGACATCCTTGATGTCTCTAAAAAACACCAAGCTAGTGGAGGAGCCAGAAAACTACAAAACAGCATTAAAAGCAAAGTAGTACAAAGTATCTTGGGTACAGAGAAAAACCAACAACAGATTTTACTTTGGTTAAAGTATATATACCAGCAAGCCCTCAGATACAAAAATTTATTTTTATTTTCAAAAATTTTAAATTTCCAGGGTCGCCCGGGTGGCTCAGTCATTAAGCGTCTGCCTTCGGCTCAGGTCATGATCCCAGGATCCTGGAATCGAGCCCCGCATCGGGCTCCCTGCTCAGCGGAGAGCCTGCTTCTCCCTTTCCCTCTGCCTGCCTCTCTGCCTGCTTGTACTCTCTTTCTCTGTCAAATAAATAAATAAAATCTTAAAAAAAAAAAATTTAAATTTCCATTTTATGGGAGAAATATAAGTTAGCAACATTGAAGCATTCAACAAAATATTTTTTTTTTTTTAAGATTTTATTTATTTATTTGAGCGAGAGAATGAGAGACAGAGAGCATGAGGGGGGGGAGGGTCAGAGGGAGAAGCAGACTCCCCGCCGAGCAGGGAGCCCGATGCGGGACTCGATCCCGGGACTCGATCCCGGGACTCCAGGATCACGACCTGAGCCGAAGGCAGTCGCTTAACCAACTGAGCCACCCAGGCGCCCCAACATTCAACAAAATATTTTATATACAAACCCAATTTGATCCTAATGAAAGAAAGACCTTGTAGAAACCATGAAAAAAAATTGTACCTGTTGCTTTAACGGCTGTAGGTCTGGTGGTCATGACTGGTTTGGGAGGATTCTGAACAACTCTGGGAACCTCCACCACCACTTCCTGTTCATCTGGATTTAAAAAAGGAACAAAGGAAAACTAGTGTGCCGGTGGACCAGAGAAATCACTACAGGTGACAAAACAATCTTCGATTTCACCTTCCAAGTCTAAATTTCACCAATTTGAAAACACGGTGTGTAAATCCATCACTGACCCAAATTGGGAGAGGATAAACAAGCACGTGACCAGTGACTTTAAGACTATGGTTATGGTACGTAAAAGTACATCTGAAATAATTCAAAAATTTAAAAATACACACACACACACAATAAATCTCCGGGCTCCTACTGGGCCTTTACAACACAGCTACAGCATTTTTCTCCCCCCGCATTAACTACCCAACGTGATTTTTTAGCGCCTGAAACGGTCGCGGCTTCTCGGGCATCTGGCCCCCGTAGCAACGCTGAACAGTTCCTCTTAATCCAAGTACCATTCTGGGGACAAACAAGTACTTGGGAACCCACCAATTTGGGGTTACGTTCGCTTTGGCTGGCATAATAAAATGGGGTTGCTCACTTCTCAAGGGTCCCTCTCGGTTTCAACAAAAACGAAAGGAAAAGCACGTGACGCGTATTAAAGGCCAGGTTCCCGGTCACGAGGCCTCGGACGAGAAGCGCGTACTTTCACAAATATCCCGTAAGTTACGCAAAGCTGAGGTGCACGTCGAGGAGACTCGGGATGCCAGGCCAAGCCCTGCACCAGAGATGGCGCCTCTAGGTCAGTGGGGCGGGCGCGCACGGCGCCGCGGCCCCTTCCGCCGCCCTGGGGCCCACAGCGGTACTCCCTTCGGGCCCCACGCAGCAGGCCTCGGATGCGGAGGAAGCCCGCCCGCCCCGCTTTCTCTTCCTCCCACGGCCCTGCCGTAGGCCGCAAGCCCCGAGCTCGAGTTTCGGACGCCCCCACCTAAGTACCGGGGCCCCTCGCACACCTTTACCTTCTGAAGGCGAGTCGTCCGGGCCCGCGGCGGCAGTAGTCACCGTGGTCGTCGTCGTCGATGGCGCCGCCGGAGCTGGCTGGCTGGGCGCCGCCACCGTCGAGTCCGGTTCTGTGTCGGGTTCCGGCTCCGGATCCCTGCCCGGTGTGTTGCTTCGGGGCCCCGGCGGAGAGAGCTGCAGGATGGGCCTGCGGCCGGGTACCGCCCGGGACTTCTTCCCCATCGCGAGCCCGAGCGCGAGCCGCGAGCGTCGGCCAGCCGAGAGGGGCGGGCGCTCCGCGCGGCGCTGCGTAATCAATATTCATGCACCGCGACACCGCCTCCTGAGAGAATCTGCTTTTAACCGGCGGAGCGCGCGCCCGCGCAAGCGCCTTGGGTCCCCTACGCTATTCTGGTACTCCCCCCGAGGGAGGAAGGGCGGGCTTTACCCATGGTGGTAGGCGATTGGCTGTTTTGATCCATTGAAGGAGCCAGTAGCCAATGGAAAAAGAAAAAGAGTGAGAGTCAGGCCAATAGCGCGGAAGGGCCTGAGTTAGAATGACTTTACATTACGTCGGACTCCACCCATGCGTCTTTTGCAGAGTCTTTTCTTTATCCCCTTGTCCTCCATCTTGCCCCTATTCTCATCTGGCTGTTCGTTGTTGTTTTCTTTCTTTCTTTCATTTTCTTTGTTTTTGTTTTGGCCTTTGGGAAGCTGTGCTGCTTTTCAGGCCTTTCCCAGAGTTTTGTCCCGATTATTGTGGCTTGCTTTGGGTATGACGTTGAACGCTAAATAAAATTGTGGGTCTTTTATGTTTTTGTAAATTTTTTTTAGAGCACAAATTTTAGGTCTCCTATTGGGTTGCTCATCAGCTGCAAAAAATCACTAGACGTTGTACTGCATACGAGGAAAAATCCTAAATTGTTGCGATGGGATACAGGAGCTTACCCAATCTAGCCCATTGATATTCTCAACCTGCTTTATAAAGATTTATCTTCCTTTAGCACTGTCCCCTCCCGGTCCCCTTCTTCCCTCCTCTGGAGCCAACCAGTTGAACACTAGCTGGAATACAGTATCACATGGCAAAACTCTCCATTCCTCAAGACCCGGCGCAGGCATTCTCTCTCAACCTTGTATCTCAGTGCTGAGCCCCTTCCCAGTGCTTGACATCTTACCCTTATATCCATTATATCTGTTTCCCTCTTCTCAACTGATCTTAAGAAATTGAGTGGTATTTATTTTTATATCCCCAGCAGCTCAGTTCTTACTAGAACATACTAATAAAACCTAACATTTATTGAACCCTTACTATGTGTGAGGCACTGTCTAAGCGCTTTACAGTTGTAGGGGTGCCTGGGTGGCTCAGTCCCCATTAAGGGTCTGTGTTCGGCTGAGGTTATGATCCCAGGGTCCTGGGATCCAGCCCCACATTAGGTTCCCTGCTTAGCAGGGAGTCAGCTTCTCCCTCTCCGTTTGCCCCTCCTCCTGTTCCTGATGTAGGAAAGAGGTTATTAGGGTTCGAAGCCATGGCCAAGAAAGAATTCTTGAGATGTCTTTGGTGCAAAAAGGTGATTTTATTCAAGAACGGGGATAGGACCCGTGGACAGAAAGAGCAGCAATAGGGTCATGAGGAGTGGCCCATTATATACTTTCAAGTTGGGAGGGGGTTAGGGATAGTGTAAGTCTCTAAGGAATTTTGGAAGCAATGTTTCCAGGACCTTGAGAGGGCTAGCTATTATTGGGAAAATGTCATTTATTACCGTCTAATAAAACCTTAGTCATGAGACCCCTCAGATGTATATCGGTGGGCCATATGCTTGGGGGATGATTGCCAACACGTATCTTGGAGGGTTTAGAGATAAAGGAAGTTTCCAAAGGAATTCTTATACATTAAAGTAGACTTACAGGATCCTGGGGGGCTGGGGGCTGGTGGGGGGGCGGTCAGGCTAGGATTGCCTTTTGCCCTTAGCAAAATATTAACACTGAGGCAGTTGAGTCCCTAGAGGAATGTCACTCTGCCTGTTTCAAGGACTTGTCAATGGGCTGTAGGTAGTAAGAAAATTTAATAATTTTTCTTCTGCCTTTGTTTCCCACATCATTCCTGCTCACTTCCCTCTCTCTCTCTCTCGAAATAAATAAAATCTTAAAAAACAAAAAACAATCAAGTATATGTATTTTATTCTCACCACAACCTTGTATATCATTATCCATAATGTATAAATGATCCCTCAGATTGTTTTTTAAGATTTTATTTTATTTTTTTAAAAGATTTTATTTATTTGTTTGAGAGAGAGATACTGAGAAGAGAGCACAGTAGGGAGGAGAGGGAGAAAGACTCCCTGATGAGCAGGGAGCCAGATGCAGGGATTCAAGGACCCCGGGATCATGACAGGAGCCACCCAGGCACCCCATTAGGATTTTATTTTTAAGTGATCTCTACACCCAAGTGGGGCTTGAATTTACAACCCTGAGATCAAGAGAACTTACAACCCAGAGATCACAAGTCATATCCTCTATGGACTGAGCTACCAGGTGCCCCCAAATTGTTGTTGTTGTTTTAAGATTTATTTATTTGGGGCACCTGGGTGGCTCAGTTGGTTAAGTGTCTGCCTTAGGCTCTGGTCCTGATTCCAGAGTCCTGGGATCTAGTCCTGCAGCAGGCTCCCTGCTCAGCGGGGAGCCTGCTTCTCCTCCCTCTGCCATTCCCCCATCACTTGTGCTCTCTGGCTCTATCTTTCTGTCAAATAAATGAATGAAATCTTTAAAAAAAAAAAAAAGATTTATTTATTTATTTTATATAGAGAGAGGACACGGAAGGGAAGAGAGGGAGGGAGGATCTCAAGGAGACTCAGTGTTGAGTGCAGGTCCTGACTTGGGGCTCAATGTCTCCACCCTGAGATCAGGACCTGAGCAGAAACCAAGAGTCAGATGCTTAACTGACTGTCACCTCGGTGTCCCTTAAGTTTATGTTTTTTAAATAATCTCTTCACTCAATGTGGGGCTTAAACTCATGACCCCGAGATCAAAAGTTGCATGTTCTTATGAATGAACCAGCCAGTTTGGGGATGCAAAAGCCATGAAAACAGTGACTTGCCCATTTTGTTCCCTGTTTATGAAATGCACTTTCTGGAACATAAGCACTCAATTTTTGAATCAATATGGTGCATGAATATATACAGACTTGAAATAAGTAGTAAGAATTCTTTTCTAGTCTATGGGAGAAATATATGGATTAGTGTCCTGAGTTTAGACTCCCAAAATTTCTGAAAAATTAGCAGCTAGACATGGGAGAATTTACTGTTTTGAAGTTTTCTGACTTATTTCTTGAGGGAAGAGGCATTGAAATATAGTAGTTGTACATAGGAGTTCTGAAGCCAAATATCTGGGTTCAAAACTCAGCTTCAGCACCTTCCAGATGTGATGGCTTGGACAAGTTTCTAAACAACTGTAAACTTGTTTCAGCACTGTAAAATGTGCCAGTAAAAGTATTCATAGGATTCTTGTGAAGTTTAAATTAGATCATAGTTTTAAGATCTTTGCCTTGTACCAGGAACAAAATAAACAATCATTATATGGTAGCTATTATTACTATTTTTTTCCATGGGTATTTATTTATTTTTATTTTCTTAAAGATTTTATTTATTCATCTGACAGAGAGACAGCGAGAGAAGGAACACAAGCAGGGGGAGTGGGAGAGGGAGAAACAGGCTTCCTGTGGAGCAGGGAGCCCGATACGGGGCTCGATTCCAGGACCCTGGGATCATGACCTGAGCCGAAGGCAGAGGCTCAATGACTGAGCCACCCAGGTGTCCAGCTATTATTACTATTAATGAGTCTTTTGTTTATACAGAAATCTAGATGCTATTATATAACTGGCTGGAAATAAGTTGAGATTATGAGCTAAACCAGAGTGCACAGAAATGGGAAAGGTTTTTTTCCTTGGGGGAAACTTACATTTCTGGAGGTGACAGAAATAACTGTAATATTTATAACCAAGGTTCTCAACCCTGACTGTTCATAGAACCATCTGGAGAGCAAGTGCTAAAGCAGTATAAAAATCTAAATCAGGATTGGGGGTGGGAGTACAGAGCCCATATCAATTTTTTTATTTTAAAGTAAGCTCTATGCCCATTGTGGACCCCAAGATCAAGAACAGCAAGCCAGCCAAGCATCCCAATATCAATTTTATTGATTGATTGATTGATTGTTTTTTAAAAATTTATTTTTAAAAGTGTACTTATTTAGGGGCACCTGGGTGGCTTAGTCAATTAAGCATCTGCCTTCAGTTTAGGTCCAGACCTCAGGGTCCTGGGATCCAGCTTCTTCCTCTCCCTCTGCTTCCCCCTCCCCACCCACGCTTGTGCTCTCTCTCTCTCTTCTCTCAAATAAATAAAATCTTTTTTTTAAAGATTTTTTTTAGATTTATTTATTTATTTGAGAGGGAGAGTAGGCAAGAGAGAGCATGAGCAGGGGGAAGAGCAGAGGGAGAGGAAGAGGCAGAGTCCCCGCTGAGCAGGAAGCCGGAGGTGGGGCTCGATCCCAGGACCCTGGGATCATGACCTGAGCTGGAGGCAGATGCCTAACCGACTGAGCCACCCAGGCACCATAAAACCCTTTTTTTTAAAAAAAAACTTATATATTATTTTTGAGGTTTTTATTTAAGTAATCTCTATGCCCAATGTGGGGCCAAAACTCACCACTCTGAGATCAAGAGTTGCAAGCTCTTCTGACTGAACCAGCCAGGTGCCCCTATTTTTTTTTTTTTTTTTCTAATAATCTCTACACCCATCCTGGGGCTGGAACTCAGGATCCTGAGATCAAGAGTCTCATTTTCCTCTAAGCCAGCCAGGCACCCCTATCAATTATTTTTTTAAAAGCTCTTTAGGGGCACCTGGGTGGCTCAGTTGGTTGAACATCTGCCTTGCCTTGGGCTCAGGTGGTGATCCCAGGGTCCTGGGATCAAGCCCCAAATTGAGCCCACATCGGGCTCCCTGAGTAGCGGGGAGCCTATTCTCTCTATCCCTCTGCCTCTCCCCCAGCTTGTGTTCTGTCACTCACTCTCAAAGAAAATCTTAAGGGCGCCTGGGTGGCTCAGTTGGTTAAGCAACTGCCTTCAGCTCAGGTCATGATGCCGGGGTCCTGGGATCGAGTCCCACATCGGGCTCCGCCTGCTCTGCGGGGATCCTGCTTCTCCCTCTCCCTCTGCTGCTCTTCCTGCTTGTGCAGTCTCTCTCAGTCAAATAAATAAATAAAATCTAAAAAAAAAAAAAAAAAACTTAAAAAAAATAAATAGAAGCTCTTTAGGTTATTCTGGGGCACCTGGGTGGCTCAGTTGATTAAGCATCTGCCTTCGGCTCAGGTCA